TATTCCAATGCATTTGATATTTTCTGCTATAAATGTAATTTTCAAATTAATTTATCAATTTTTGATTTTTAATATACAAAAATGTAGTGCATTTTTGATCAACATGTTCATCATGTGTTCAGCAACCTTGTCTGGAGACACTTTTGGATTTTTTACAAATATAATCAAGTCACCTGCAAATAAAGAGTTTAACTTCTGTTCTAATCCTTTTACCTTATATTTATTTGTCTTGTTTTTTTGCATTGGCTAGGACCTCCAGTATAATATTCAACAGACATAGTGATAGTTGACATTATCATCTTATTCCTAACTATGGGAGAAAGCATTTAATATTCCACCATTAAGTATGATATACTTTATCAATTTTAGAAAGTTCCCCTCTATTACTAGTTTACTGAGAAATATTATTAAGAATAAGTGTTAAGTCTGGGTGTGATGGCTCATGCCTATAATCCCAACACTTTGGGAGGCCAAGACAGGGGATCACTTGAGGCTGGGAATTTGAGACCAGCCTGGCCAACATGGCAAAATCCCACCTCTACTAAAAATATGGATTTAGCCAGGTGTGGTGACACACACCTGTAATCCAAGCTACTCAAGTGGCTAAGGCACAAGAATCCTCCCTTGAACCCAGGAGGTGAAGGTTGCAGTGAGCCAAGATCATGCTACTGCACTCCAGCCTGAGTGACAGGTGACAGAGCAAGAGTCTGTCTAAAAAAAAAACAACAAAAAACAGAAGTATCGAATGTTATTAAATTCTTTTTTTATTGATCTATTGAGATGATTTAAGTGTTAATGTACTGATTTACATAGATTAAATTTTAAATGTTAAACCAACCTTGCATTCCCTGTAAGAAATCATGGTTAGTAGTAAGAATATGCTATAGTAAATTTTTTTTTTTTTTTTTTTTTTTTTTTTTTTTTTTTTTTTTTTTTTTTTTTTTTTTTTTTTTTTTCACCATGCTTAAGGTAAGTATTATGGTTATTTAGAATCTGACTGGTGATCTGGTAATGTGATTACCTGGAGCGATTGTGATTTAATGTATTACTGCAGACTATTGTGGATGGGCAAAGATTTCTTGAACAATACATAAAAACACAACATTCACCTAATTTATGTTATGGATGCCACTACAGTGGGGAAAGAATGCTCTTTTTAAAAATATGGTCCTGGAACAATGGGATAATCATATGGAGCAAAATAAACCATGATCTTTATCTCACTTTTATAATGTGGTAAAATATGTAACATAAAATTTACCATTTTCACCATTTTTATGTGTTCATCTCAGTGTGTATTAAGTTCAATCACATTGCTGTGCAGCCATCACCACAATCCATCTCCAGAAGTTTTTTCACCTTCCCAAATTAAAACTGTATAACTCATTAAACAATCATTCCCTATTGCCCCTCCCTCAGGCCCAGCAACAACTATTCTAGTTTCTGTCTCTATAAATTGGACTGGTTTAGGTACCTTATATAAGTGGAATCATATAGCATTTGTCCTTTTGTGACTGGCTTATTCACTTAGCATAATATCTTCAAGGTTCATCCATGTCAATAGCATGTGTTGGAATTTATTTTCTTATTAAAGATGACTAATACTGTATTATTTTTCATATACCATATTTTATTTATCCATCCATTTATCCATTGATGCACACTGGGTTTCTTCTACCAATCTTTGGCTTTTGTGAATAATGCTGCTATGAACAGGGGTATACAAATATCTCTTCATGCCCCTACTTTCAATTATTCTGGGTATATACCCAGAAGTGAAATTTCTGGCTCATATGGTAATTCTATTTTTAATTTTTGAGGAACTGCCATTCTGTTTTCCATAGCAGCTGTACCATTTTACATTCCCATCAGCAGTGCATGAGAATTCTACCTCATATTTTATACAAAAATTACCGTATATAAAAATCAATTTGACATGTATTTTAGAACTATTTTAAAATGGTAAGACAGTGAAGCTTTTAGAAGAAACCATAGGCCAATAACTCACAATTTTAAGATATAGGCATAACCTTCAGATGCTATTTTGGTGGCAGAGTTTTAGCATTTATTGATGGCTTTAGGATGTGATGCAAGGATTACAAGGAACAGAATTCCACCCCTCAAAGTGTTTTGATTACCTTGCACAATGTCTTGTATCTTATGTTGAACTTAAGTGCCTTTCAATAGATATGCATGCTCCAATTGCTCTAATCTTCATCCCTCTCTAAGGATTTTCTCCAGACCGATACTTTCTCTTCATTTACCTACCTTAGATGCTGAAACAGCTAAGTTTATGATCCCTGGTCTATAGTATTATTGTACCCAAATAACTATTACTGATATATGTTTTGATTAGAAACCCACTGCATATATACATATGCGTGTCATCAAAGAACATTTATTGCTATTGTCGTAGTATGTATTTGTTTTATTGGCCTGAGCCTCTCAATAATGACTGTTATCATGAGGAAAATGTTGAAAACCCCTCACACTGAAGAAGTACGTATGTAAATAATAAAAAGCAAAAGGTAGCAGGCTTTAAACTTGCACCAGTGCCATAGGATAGCTTCCATATTACTTTCTCTTTCATGTAATTGTGTGCCACGCATGCACATCAGGCCACCAAGAAACGCCTCCCAGCAGAGTGTGGTTTTGGGAGACAGGACCCAAGATAAGCTTATGGGAGCTCAAAATCTTATAATTACCAAAGGGCATGAGATAGGGTAGGGAGCTTTCTGAGATCTTGGTTTGCATCACAACTTTCTATATGAACATGATCCAGCCCAGAAGATGCAAATGAAAGAACAAACAGTATTGTTTTTCCCTGGTATCTTATGTGGACACACTTAGCATAAACACATATTGAAGTCAATTGAGTGGGATGAACAGGATCACACAAGAGGAGAAAATTTCCAAATGAAAGATACAAAATCAGGGGCATGTTTGGTAGAGACCTGGGGAGTAATTACCTGGCAAGTAATTTGGTGTGGCTGGAGCACAAGGTCCCCAGAAAGGGACTAGGGTGTGATAAGTCCACCAAGAATCCTATTATTGAAAAGCCAATTTAAAATGGAACACACACCCTCTTGGTGCCCTTGCCAATGTGACCTTATAGGAGTAATAAATTTGGATTTTCCTATGCTGGTTATTTATAACATAGAAACTTCTTAATCACTGTCCTCATCCCATATAGTCTCTTCTCTCGGTAAATGGTTTAATGTGATCATTATGCTTCAACTCAAAACATCTCTATTTGGCAGTCAGAGCCAGTTCAGAAGGAGCCTTGGATTAAGAGACAATGTGGTAGAAACTCCAAATTTCTAACAAGTAAATTAAATGTAAAGGTGAATAAATTTAAAAAATGGAAAGCCAGTTAATATAAATGGGTGGAACTGTCTGTTATCTCTACACTTACTAGTAGAAACTAGGTTAATAAACATTTATTAGACACAAGAAGAGTCTCATAATGTGTCATTGTGTTTAACAAACACATAGGAGGTACCTCTATGAGCTTGATAAGATACTTGAGACTTTCTGGTAATTTTCTTCTATACTCAAAATGCTCACAAAATTGGTGTTATAGCCATTACACAAATGAAGAGTGAAGATAGTTTTCCAGCTGGCTTCCCTGACTCACCTTCATACCACTGCCGTCCTCACTCCAACCCCACCTATCATCTATGCTGTTGCTTTTCAATCCTCCTTCCCTACTACATTACATTCACTGGCTCACTGTTGTCCACCACATGAAGTTCAAGATATTATGCATGTTCAAGATCTGTTCTTCTGTCCTTCCCCAACCCCAGAATTTTGCTCTAACTACCTTTCCAGATTTATCTACCATTGCTTCCCTTCATACATCTGATGCTTAACCTCAAAGCTAGTCCGTGCACTGCAGTTTTCATGGGGCTTCCTCTGTCCAGACCCCTACTTAACCCTTCTCCTGTCAAAATATTTTCTTATTTTTAAAGCCCAATTCAACTTACATCTTCTTTATGAAGTTGTCTCTGTTTTCTAAAGGCCTGTAGCACTTTATTAGGAGTAAAACTTAATGGCCAGTGTAACAGAAGTCCCACCTGAGCCTACAGGGAATGCAGACTTCTCAGGCTCTGTCTGCCAAGGGGTAGAGCCTCCCCAACAGCACAATTGTATAACCTTCCTGCTGGAGGAGAAGAGGACCTGTGATGAGGAGGTTAGTGCAGAGGCTGCTGGGAACAGGGAATGGGAAATGGAGAGAATAGCATGAAGTCTCTCCCAGCCTGGCCACAGACTTACTGGTGTCTGGACTCTATGGAGGAAGGAGATACTGGGCAAATGTTAATGGAACAGTTTTCACAAGATAATCTTTAGAGACACAGGGGTGCAAACAATCTTGAATTTGTATCCTTACAGAAGAATGTAATGTAAAGACAGAAAGAGAATGAGACCCTTTTCATTGCTTACCTCTGAACACCACTCAGCTTGGCATCTCATGTGCTCCAGCACGCCAGCTGCAGTGGGAGCCTGCAGAGCCCAAGAGAGCTGCAGGGAACCACATGGGAATGGACTTGCTTGTGAGCTCATATGAATTCACAGAATCCAGGCCAGACGTGGTGGTATGTACTTGCAGTCCCAGCTACTTGGAAGGCTCTTGCAGGAGGATTACTTGAGCTCAGGAGCTCAATGCCAGCTTGAGCAATATAGTGAGACCTCCTCTCTTTAAAAAAAAATTCCCAGAGTTTTGGGGAATCCCCCAGAAACATCTAAAGGACACTGTAGATGGTCAAGACCCTGTGTAAATATCCTGGGGGAAAAGCCTGTAGAATTTGGATTATTACTATTGATTAAATTTTATTTGTGTACATGGACAGGTTAAGTCCTAGAAAAACTTGGGTTAATGCTGACATTCATTTATGACTTGATATGGTTTTAAAACTTATCTCCATTGATTTATCTGATTTGATTACCATAACAACCACTCAAGGTGGCTATTATTATATCCAGACTTTCCCCCATAGCGATGGATTTGAGCATAGTGTTTATTGTGGAAAGAGTCCAGGACTTGTCAGCAGACCTACATTTGAGCTTTTACTCTTCTGCATACGGCTGGGTGATCCTGGATAAATCCCAACCTCTCTGAGCTTTAATTCCTTACCTGTTGGACAGGAATAACAATTCCTTTTGTATAGAGATGCTGTAAAATTCTGAGATGATGAAAAAATCCTGTACAATTGTAAGACATTATGGCACATGACTTTATACCATTGTATTCATCTTCTGCCATAAATCGTTTTTTTCTATACATTTCAATACAATAAAAATAATGAACAGAGCAACCACGCCTTAATCATCTCTGTGTCAGCTTATCTTGCACAGAGTAGGTACTCAGTATGATGACGTGAAATGCTGCGGGTTGATAAGCTTCCCATCTATAGTATGGGCCTGGTACAGTGGAGTGGAACTTCAGAATGGCTGGGACTAGATGCCAATCCTGAAAGCCTAAGATTATTTATTAGATTAATCAGATATATAAGAGATTCAGATATAAGAGGTCGAATCAGTTTCCCAGGGACCTAATACATGGCTAAGAGAGACAGAACATTAAAGGACAGCAGGGGCTGGCAAACGTTTTCTGTGAAGGGCCGGGTAATAAACATTTTAGGCAATGTAGGTCATATGGTCTCTGTGGCAACTACACAACTTTGTCATTTTTATCGTGAAAGCAGCCACAGACAGTATGTAAGCGAATGGGAGTGACCATATTCCAATATATTATATTTTAAAAAACAAACAGATGGTGGGCTTCATTTGGCCCATAGGCCCTGGCTGGTCAACTCCTGAGACAGAGGCTTGTCCTTTTGCCAAGGAGGATTTATAATACAAAAAGGCCGAAAGTAAAACCAGGTGGTGGCATGAAATGGAAAAGCTGAAATCAATGAGTAAAAGTAAAGCTCTCCAGTAAGTTTCAAAAACCAAAAGTCAACAAGTATGTAACTGGAGAGAGAAGAGGCATAAAATGTCTGCCGAAATGCATCAGGGCAAATTTTATTCTTTAAAAGGAAGAAAATACTGTGGGGGTGTTTTAGTTCTGGAGGGTTTTAGATGCCTATGGGACAAACAGTGCCGTGTAGCTGGTTAGACTATCGAAGGCGCTCTAAGTCCCATTCATGAAAGCAGAGCATCCAGGACAAACAAGGTGAGCATCCCAGGAGGACAGGACTGTGTCTGAGTCACCACAGGACCCCTTGCTCCTAGCACAGGGCCTGACGTGCAGCAGGTACCCCCTGGGAACTCATACTTCCCCATGCTCTGCTCTGGCCAGGACAGTTTCATATCTGAGGGTCTCTGTTCCCTGAAAAAACCAGGGTTTGTTTGCCTGGTGGGTAACAGATGACTCCACAAGAACATGAGTTTTGATCAAAAGGAGTTTGTTTCACTTGTCACAAGCAAGGATAGCGCTGGGAATATTCTCCAAAGCGGTGTCTCTGAAGGAAAGTGACAGGAGGGTTTCATGGGGTGATGGAGAGGGGAGAGAGTGCATCGGTGCATGTAGGGAGGGGTCCCAGTGGCGCAGCCTCAGTGAGTCATGCTGCCAGCGCATAGGTCACATGTTATGGTCATGAAGCTGTAGCTCCTCCCGGGGTAGTGACTTCAGGATGGTAATGAGGAAAGTTCATTCGGGTTCATCTAGAAGTTGCCAGGGTCTGTCAGGAGCTGGTTCCAGCTGACTAGGTCACCACATTCCACACGGGGCTTGGGAAGAAACAGGCAGCGAGGCAGGAAGCTGTAAAACAAGCCGATTGCTCAAGTTGGTTAAATGTCTACATTCCCAGGAGACCCTCCCTGTCTGCTTACATCTCCTCTGTGCTATGTCTGTGCTGGATTCAAAGGGGAAGAGGTGTTTGAGCTAGAAGCTGAAGGAAGTGTCCATGTGAGGAGAGAGGAGGGATGGGGGGAAGAGTGCTCCCACAGAGGGCTGCGGCAGAGTCCATCCAAGATCCTTGGCCCAGGCTCGCTTCTGCGCTCTTTCCCTTTGAATTAAAATACAGGTTTCTAAAAAATAGTGGCAGAGGGTCATCATACTTTCTAAGAAGTCTCGGCCAGGCGCAGTGGCTCACGCCTGTAATCCCACCACTTTGGGAGGCCGAGGCGGGCAGATCACGTGGTCAGGAGATCGAGATCATCCTGGCTAACATAATGAAACTCCATCTCTACTAAAAATACAAAAAAAAAAAAAATTAACCGGGCGTGGTGTTGGACACCTGTAGTCCCAGCTACTGGGGAGGCTGAGGCAGGAAAATGGTGCGAACCCGGGAGGCCGAGCTTGCAGTGAGCCGAGATCGCGCCACTGCACTCCAGCCTGGGCGACAGAGTGAGACTCCGTCTCAAAAAAAAAAAAAACAAAGTCTTCATTTCAGCTTTATTGTTTATAAAAATATGCTCCCTTACCTGGGTGACAAGAAACAAATGTGCTGACATGTTTAAGGAAGGATTTGGAGTATTTTAAATCAGGCTATGAAGGGACATGAGTTTAAGGAACTGGTAGGTCCACAGTAGGAGTGCTCATAGCCACCAATAATCCCCTTACGAAGGAACTAATTATGTTTGGAGAGGACGTGTGTGCCTGATCAAATAATTAAAACTAAATTGCTCTCCTTGGAAATGCAAATTAACGAGTGTTAAAGCAACTCGGTTGGTCACATAGATAATAAATAGATGTGTCTTCTCAAGTCTGTTAGGTGGCACTGATTGATTTCCAATTCTGGCTACAACAGGGCCTGAGTGGCTTTTGAAACAAAGATGAGGGGACTGCAGGCCCAGTGGGGACAGCTGTTGAAAGCTTTAAGCCATTACACCCCACCCCCACCGCCTGCTTTTTGCAACTGAGAATAGGAGACCTTGAGGAACCAGACTTGACCTACTGCTGCCCCTGAACCCCAGCCCTGCAGGAGAATGAGGGAACGGTGGCACTGTCAACCCCACTCCTCCAAACAATGCCTTCCGTACCACCCAGTGCTGTCAGGTCAAAGAAAATAAGGCACTGGCTGAGCACCAGGAGCCAGATGGACCTTTTGGTGGGGGTATGGAGGTGTGGGGGGAAGCAGAGGTACGAGGCCTTGGGGGGCTGACTGGAGTACTGTTACATGAGTTTTTAAAAAGTTTTTGCTCAGCAATTAATTAATAAAAAATCTTATCAAACAATAAACAAAAAAACCCAAACTCAGGTTACAAATGTTTTATCATTTTGTCAAAGAACCTATATTAATTAAGCACCTATTACTCAGAGCTTGCTCTTGAGTGGGCCTTTGTAGGTGGGCTGGGAGAAGAAAATTGGATTTCTGCCTTGAAGGAAGCTACATTCTTGTTGGGGGGGACAAATTTTAGGTAAACAAAGGGCATGGTCCCAATTCCTTTTGCCTTGCTGGCATCAGGCCCTTTCCTACACCTCTCATCTGGAGGAAAATGATTACCTAGAGCAGGTGTGACAAGTGACACAAGAAGGAGAGAGAAGCCCCACCAGGGCATAGCTGTAGGATCTCATTTAGCTCTCCAGAGGCTGTGTGAGGGAGCTTCTAATCTCCTTGCAGCCCAGGGACCTGAACCTTCAAGAGATGTAGGGTAAGGATGCTATCTGGTTCCAAGGGGGGGAGGATACAAGAGGTGGATGAGGTAAGACACAAAGGAACACCTAACAGTGCGTAGAACCAATAAGCACTCAGCGAATGCTCCCTCTGATTCCTAGGTAACTTGCCCAAGGCCGCAGACATCATTGAGGACAGAACCAAGATTCATTTACCCCCAGTTAGCCCAATTAAAAAGCCCCCACCTTTCCTTACTGACTGCAGGTACCTCTTGGGGTTCAGTTGCCTTCATCTTCCTCCTCGTCTTGCCTCCTATTCGCGGTCACACCTCCAGCCTCTTTCAAGTCCACCCAGAGAGACTTTTCTTTCCGTGTGTTGGAACGCAGTGTTGACAACTTCCTGGCCTTCCAGTATAAGCAGAGGAGGGAGATGAGCAGAAGCAGGAGCAGGACGAAAGGGCAGATGACCAGGAAATAGAGTAAAGGGACCGAGGAGCAGATCCTGGAAGGAAACGTGGGCTCTGCAACGAAGGGAGAAAGAGAGTAATTCATCTCCAACTTATTTGTACTAATCAATTACAAACACTCCTGGGATTTATTGTTACGGGCAAGTATATGTAAAAATAATGGGGCCAAATAGCAGTGTGCTCCTGAAATCATGAGGAGCACAGGACTGAGCACCGGGGGAAGAGAGCTCCTGGAACGGGCTCTTCTAATGCAACACCCCCTTGCCCTGCAATTTCCAACCACTGGAGGCTCCAATGACCTACTTAAAACTAACAGCCAAAATGAAAAACAAAACAAAAAAGAAAACCTCTCCTTTAATCTTCTTTCCTCAGAAAAGATATCTATAATTCAACCCTCGTTCTCAACAGTGTTGCCAGTCCTGAATTTTTAACTTGAGTTATTCCCACTGCTGCTGCTCCAACACACAGGCACACACTCTTTCTCACACACACATACACACACTCTGCCCTGCACTCTGCACTGCCCTTATAAAACAATCGCACCCACAATGAGGAGCCCCTTGCCCCACTGACCCAAGCCTGGTCCTCCCCGTGGGTCTCCCCCTTCCCTGGCCCCCTCCCTTCCACTCCTTTCCTCTGTTGCTCTGGGTGTGGCCACCACCTGACATGCTGCATGCATCTGAGCCTCTAGGTCCTTCTGGGCTAGCTCCATCACACTTCCCACTCTCCCAGCTCTTCCTACCTTGCTGCAGGCACAGTTCTTCTCTTCCATCCCGTTCTTGCTCAGTCCTTTGTTTAGGCCTCTTTAGTTCCCTTTTACTCATCTCCTTTGTTCATTATAGTTACTTGAGTATGTCTGATAGTGCCATTTGTTTCTATATCCCCTACAGTGCCTAGCACATGTGCTCAGTAACTTTTGCTGATCTGAATTAAATTGGATTGACTGCAACCACATGGGCAAAAGATACTATATAAAGGCATGCTGAAGCATATGATCATCCCACAGCTGCAATCCGCCGGGAAGCACTAGCAGCAGACACACGCACGGAGCACACACAAGCAGCCCGAGTGGCTCCTGGCCACACAGCCAGGGAAGCAAAGGCCCAGAGGACTGCAAACACCACAGGTTTCAGGGAACAGTCTATTGAAGAAGAAAGACACATGCTTAAAGAGACCAATTACTAAATGTAGTCTTCCAATCACATCTATTTATGACATGATATCCGAAATCAGGGCTGTTCTGAAATATTCAATGCTAACAGTAGCTGTGCTTTTACTGGAAAATTGTAATGACATAAGCAATTTCTTCTTCAAAGGTTAAGCTGCAGGATTCATGGGATTATAGATGCTTAGAGATGAAAAGAGGTTTAGAGGTCATCTTGACCAACCTTCTGCTTCAAGAATTCCATTTTTGGCATTGCCAATGAATCTTACATGTTGAAGAACATCTCTTTGATGGAAGTCAAGAAAGAATCTAGACATTCGCTCACCTCCTGCGCTGTGAGCTCCTTGAGGGTAGGGCCTGTGTCTTGTGTGGCTTTTTATCTTCCTCAACTCTTTGTTCACAGGGTCTCAATGGAGCCTGATGAATGAATCAATTGCACGAGCACATTCCACACATGGGAACCCAGGGATGGCTGCCATCATGCTACACAAAGTACAGATCATCACTGAACATTCGGCTGGCAGCTCTGAATGAGGCTGGCAAAGAGCTGCAGAGGTTCGTGGCCTGGATTTTCTCTGACCTCATTTGTATCCTTCATCCTAAATTTGGTTTTGTTTTTTGAATTGGTGAGCAATGATAAAGTTAGGTTTTGAATTCTTTACCATCCCTCTACTCCACATCCTATCTGACCCCTCTTCCAATGACCCTGCTTGACTACAGTTATTCTCCCCCAGTCTTATCTGAGTACATCTGAAGGCCCACGGTGAGAAGGAAGCATAGACTGCAATGATGCAAGTGAATGGAGCCACGGAGTCCAGGTATTATAAGCACTGGCTGTGGGCATTTGTGCAGAGTAATGAATGAGCACCTACTCTGTTTCAAAGAGAGCTGAGTTCAAATCCTCAGTCTTCAATGTGCTGTTATTGACATTGGACAAGTTACTTATCCTCTCTTAATCATTAGTTTCCTCATCAACCAAATAGGGGTAACAATTTCTACAGTTGTGATGAGATCATGTATAATAAAGCATCTAATATCTAATGAAGTGCCTAAAGCATTTGTGGAGTCAGCAAGCGATAAAGATTATCTAGAATGGTACTGAAAAAGCTAAGAAAATCACAGGAAACCTTCTCCTAAGAGAAGAGAGAGAGAACAGGGCTGGAGCCTACAGATCCCTCACATAGGGACCCCAGGCTTGGCCATCTTCCTCCACAGGCTCTCTCTCCCTTAGATCTCTGGTCCCCCTGTCCTCAAACCTGGGTGACATTCAGCGAAGACCGAAGTGGATCCAGGGGCTCTGGCTTCCTTTTCTACTCATGGGAGGCAGAGAATTGTGAGGTGAAAGTCCACAGCACCAGGTATTACAGTTGCTAGAATGGTGGGGTAATGATGGCGAGATGGGGCCACTACACAGGAGGTGGAAATAAATCTACTATTCTTGTTTTTCAGCATGAAGGAACAGCCAGAGGGCTTGGCTATCCTGGTGGGGATGACGCTGCTCAGCTTAGCGCAATCTACCACCAAAGGATGGCAAGGTGTGCCCCTTACCATGCTGAAGTGGCCAACAGCTAGCAACTGTTACCGCCTGTGCTGCTACATCACCTCTCCTGGGAGGGCAGTGTTTGCTCTGGATCCCACAGTCACCATTTCCCACCATCTGCCTCTCACCCATATCTGGATTAGAATTAGTGACATTCAAACCATTAAGGTTTGGCATTTTGAATCAATCAGTCAGTGGCCAATGCTCAAAGTACAAGGCCTTCAAAACAAAGCCAAAAATGTAATGAGAACACTTCATCATGAGGCTTAGTTTAGAATGTGCTTCCACCCACAGCCAAGCACAGCAAAAGGAGCACTCCTTTTTGATATTTCCTCAGAGACACTGACTTCAGAAGAAAAGAGGTGTGAGATAAAGAGGGGGCTGCCAACTCTTTCCCACTACCCAACCCCAAACATGCAGCCATGTGGGAGATGGCTCTTGCCAAGAAATAAAAGTAGGGTAAGGTAACCTGATAACAAGTGCATCCCAGAATAAGTGAATCACTGACAGCATCCTGTTTCAACCCAACTGAAGATTTGCCTGCTCATTCTTTCATTAAGCATTTGCTGAATGCCATGTGCCAGGCCTTGCTGGAGGCACTGGGAAGCACAGGTAAGTAGCCTGGCATCTCCACAAACTTCCGTGTTATAGAGACAGACAGCTCCTTCAAGAATCCACTTCCTTCCCTTCCCTTCTCTCCTTTCCCTTTTTTCTTTCTTTCTTTCTTTCTTTCTTTTTCTTTCTTTCTTCCTTTCTTTTTCTTTCTCTTTCTTTCTCTCTCTCTCTCGCTGTTGTTGTTGTTGTTTTTTGACAGTGTCTTGCTCTGTCATCCAGACGGGAGCAAAGTGGCATGATCGTGGCTTAGTGCAGCCTTGACCTCCAAACTCAAGCAATCCTCCCATCTCAGCCTTTTGAGTAGCAAGGACTACAGGCGTGCATCAACCATGTGTCTAATTTTTAAATTTTTTGTAGAGACAGGGGTCTCGAACTCCTGGGCTCAAGTAATACTCCCGCCTCGGCCTCCCAAAGTGCTGGGATTACAGATGGGAGCCATCACATCTGGCCCAAGGCTCTACTTTCTAAATAGACTCTTACCGTAATAAAAGCTCGGAAATAGTAACAAGTACCACACCACTACAAATAATTCAGTTCCCAGGAAGCCTTACAGCCTGGCCTATCAATTAATCACAGACAATTCTCTAGAATAAGACATTTATGTCTAGGGTCTAAGGGTAAGGTAAAAAGACTGAGGCAGCTGTTGTCCCTGCCATGGCTTAGTCATTGGTAAGGAAATAAGATAGAGAGATAGAGAAAAAAAGGCAAGGTCCATTCTCCGAAAAAATGTCTCTTAACTTTCCTGCCTTCACTTGAGCCACACGCTCTACAGTCCTATTGTGTGGCCCTAAACCCAGCCCAAGCTGGGATAGCCAGATAGAGAGCACGAAAAATCATCTGATAAGTGACCATAAGTAGCATATTATATTTGAACTGGATCTTGATAACACATAGACCTGGTATTCACCAGGAGTGCAATTACACAGTGATTCAGTAAACATTTGAGCATCCCCTATGTGCCAGGCACTGTGCTAGTGCTACAAATGAGACACTCATCATCTTTGCCTATAGTATAGTCTAGCAGTGTGACAGATGTTAAACAGGTAACTGCAGGTGTGAGGGCTAAAAGAATAAGGGAAGTCTCTGAGGCAGTGGCAGTTAAGTTGCTGGGTGAGAGTGTTGACCAGGGAAGGATGGCATGCAAGAGCATTCCAGAAAGGAGATGGCGCATGCATGGTGAGATGTTGGACTGTCAGTCGTATCTACTCTTCTATTAATCCTTCCTTTCCTTCCTTTCCTTCCTTCCTTCCTTCCTTCCTTCCTTCCTTCCTTCCTTCCTTCCTTCTCTCTTTCTCTCTTTCTTTCTGCTGGCTTTCTCCCCTCTAAAACATAAATGTGCTCAAATCTGTACCATCTTCAAACCAAAACAGAAAAAAAGCAAAACAAAAACACTTTCACTTTTTCTGGATAACTTTTGCCATTTTATTTTCTTCTCTCTTCCCCTTGACATCAAAGCTCTTGAAAGCGCAATCTGCATTAACGGGCCCACTCTCCCCTCCTCAACTTGCTGCAGTCTGACTTCCCTGATTACTTTTCTGTAATTGTTCCACAATGTCAAATCCAATGGATACTTTCCCACTGTTATCTTAATCAACCTCTTTGCAAGAGCTGAGTCTGTCAACTCTCCTCACCCTCTTGATACCCTCTCTGCCTTTAGTGTCTGTGGTACCACCAAATCCTGATTCTCTTCCCAGCAACCTATCACTCCTATCAGTCTCCTTCACAGGCTCTCCACTCCCTGAGAAACGGTAGTTTATCCCAGAGCTCCACCCTTGGGCATCATTATTGGCTACCAATGGATGACTTCTAATCTACAACTCCGGTGCAGATCCCATTTGGAAGTCTTGAGTTCTATTGGACAGATCTTTATCAATAACTCACAGGTACTCTGAACTCAATTCCAGCCCAACTTATTCAAAACTGAACTAATCTTCCCCTCCAAACCCCTGTCATATATTACCTTGCTTGGTAAATGGCCCTACTATCCATCTAAGCTAGAATCCAGATGTTAATCCTTAATTCTCTCTTTCTGCTCATTTGCCCTCTATATACAATGAATCGGCCTCTAAATCCTGAAGATGACATCTCCTAATACCTAATGCCTGTTCTTTTCTTAGTCATCATGGGTACTGCCTTAGCTCAGGCCTTCACCTTTTCCCAACTGGGTTTCCAACATTTCATATACTTCTCCCTGCACTGTTGGCCTCCCCTCCAATTCTTTATTTATTTATTTGAGACAGACTTTCACTCTTGTTGCCCAGGCTGGAGTGCAATGGCATGATCTCAGCTCGCCGCAACCTTCCCCTCCCGGGTTCAAGCGACCCTTCTGCCTCAGCCTCCCAAGTAGCTGGGATTACAGGCATGCACCACCACGCCCGGCTAATTTTTTGTATTTTTAGTACAAACGAGGTTTCTCCATGTTGGTCAGGCTGGTCTCAAACTCCCAAAGTCAGGTGATCTGCCTGCCTCGGCCTCCCAAAGTGCTGGGATTACATGCGTGAGCCACCGTGCCCGGCCTCCAATTCATTTTAATGTGGGAACTTTCTTTTTTTTTTTTGAGACAGAGTCTTGCTCTGTTGCCCGGGCTGGAGTGCAGTGGCCGGATCTCAGCTCACTGCAAGCTCCGCCTCCCGGGTTTACGCCATTCTCCTGCCTCAGCCTCCCGTGTAGCTGGGACTACAGGCGCCCGCCACCTCGCCCGGCTAGTTTTTTTGTATTTTTTAGTAGAGACGGGGTTTCACCGTGTTAGCCAGGAAGGGCTCGATCTCCTGACCTCGTGATCCTCCCGTCTCGGCCTCCCAAAGTGCTGGGATTACAGGCTTGAGCCACCGCGCCCGGCCTAATGTGGGAACTTTCTAAAAGGAAAACCTGATCATGTCACTTCCCTGCTTAAACTTTTTCAATGACACTCCACCACTGTCATGATAAAGTTCTTCCTTCTTAGCTTCATAATCACATTTGGGATCTATCTGTACCTTCTCCACCTCACTGGTCTCATCTCTTGCTATTGTACCATAGAGACTGCAGTTCCTGCCATTCTCAATGACCAGGAGTTCCCTGAATATAACATGAAATTTTACATCTTATTATCATCTTGCATACTCTTTCATTTTCCTAAAATAAGTTTCTTCCTTTTCATGAGCCCCAGACTCTGGGGAACCTTCCCAGATCGCCTCCCTACCTAGCCCTTCACTCCAGCCCTGCCTCTGTTGTTCCCATAGTCTACAGGAAATACCTCTTTGAAGACACCTATTATGTTGGACTAGATTTCTCCCACTGGACTCTAAGCTCTGTGGGAACAGACTCTGTATATACACTTTTGTGCCCTCAGAACCTCATATAGTTATTTATTAAACAAGTGCCATTATTTTGTCACATAGATGTACACATGTAGATGTGTGTATACCTGTGTGTATGTGTATGTGCCGCATGTTTGGAGGCATAAGGGGAGAAGGAGATTACATTTGCTGAGTACTGACCATGTGCCAGGCACTGTACTGGATACTTTATATATATATTTATATTATGATCTTCATTTTATAGCAAGCTGAGGCTCACAGCAAGTAACCAGAGTATGATTTCATAGCTGGTATTGGTAGTAGAGCTGTGATTGAAGCTTAGGCTGGTCTGATTCCAGCCCCTGGGATTTTTTATCACCCACACTGCCTCCCTGACTACCAGAAAGGAACAGCCAGGTAGAGGAGCCCAGATGCTACATTACAGGGATTTCCTTGGAAATCCTCAACATTCATTACCCTCAAAACCCTCAGTTTGTCATGACAAAGGCTTTCTGAAGAATACAAAGGCCACTCAATTTTTAATGTTTTCTTTCCAGGTTTATCTTTTAAAAACCATATACCTGTTTTACAAGGATCTCACAAAGATTAACAATATGTATGCTATGAAGGATCCCATCTGCCTCAGAGAAGACATGCTTTTCATCACAGACTGTATACTTTTTACGGTTCTTATCTATTTATTCTACTGCAAAAACTGCCGATTCTACAGAGTCTATGAATTCCACTGGGAAAACATGTACGGAATTTGCTCACAAGTATGGGACTTCCTGTAATTGTTGGAAAGAAAAAAAAAGGCTGATAGAAAAAACATTTCTGCCTGGCACTCAGGAGAAAACTTCGCTGAAGAATGAACACGGAAAAACAATGATGGACCCCCTCAAGGAACAAATTGGATAGCCTCACCTTCCCCTCTGGAAGCCCTGCTGGGCTGGGGTGCACCTATCCCTACTTCTTAGATGTTCCCATATGTTCTCAACAGCATTCTGTCCTTCCCAAGGAGTGTCACTAAAGCTAGCTGGTGTCTCAGGATTGTTACCTTTATTGATGATTTTCCCTTTATGCTTCCTGGTGTCTGGCACCAAGACCACACCCCTACTTCTCCAATGGCCCTTTCCCTCAGTAAGCTGAGCTTATTGCTCACCTCCCACCCTCTCCTTGAACCCCAGCAGAAAGACATGGACCTGTCAGATGCTCCTGATACTTAAGCGTCTGTGCCAAAACCTCATGTGAACCTTGTTTGTTCAAATGAGTTACTATTGAGAGAGATAGCAAAGTCATCTTCTTTAGGGAACCTGAAAATTGTCTTCAGTCTGAAGAAGGAGCAAAAGATAGGTGAGAGGGAGGGCATAAGAGGAGAGCCATGTATCCTCCTGACCATGAGCTCACGGTAGATAAACCCCCGGTTACCTGAAGGCAGCACCGTGAGCACCATCCACTGTGACTCATCGGATGCTTGATTAATCCACTTGCTTGGGTGTCCATGGAGCTGCCACTCTGCCACCCTACACCAGTACATTCCTGCATCCTCCATCTCCACCTGATGAAGCTTCAGGACAAAGTCTGTAGGGGATGAACGGTAACAGTGCAGGTGCCTCCTAAGCCCCTCTTCCCCATACTCCAGCAAGCCATCATGTTGCAAGTGCACCAGCATTTTACTTCCAGAGTTTTCTCTGTTCCAGTACCACATCACAGAGTACAGAGCGGCTGGGCTGCCTACACTCTCCAGGCTGCAGTGGATGGCCACCTCTCTGTGCTCGGTCACATTTTCGGTCCAGTACACTTTGGAGACACGTACCTTACTTCCTAGACAATAAAATGGCAGTAAATTAGAGAATGCAGATGTTCAGATTGGATACCACCTCTGAAAAATCTAGTTCTCACTGGGAAGCTCTTATATTCCTTAGACATCAGTGCATTTATTTTATTTTTATTTTTTGAGACAGAGTCTTGCTCTGTCACCCAGGCTGGGGTGCAGCGGCACGATCTCGGCTCACTGCAACCACTGCCTCCTGGTTTCAAGCAATTCTCCTGCCTCAGCCTCCCAAGTAGCTGGGATTACAGGTGTATGCCACCATGCCCAGCTGATTTTTTGTATTTTTAGTAGAGACGGGGTTTCACCATGTTGGCCAGGTTGCTCTTGAACTCCTGGCTTCAAGTGATCTGCCCACCTCAGCCTCCCAAAGTGTTGGGATTATAGGCGTGAGCCACGGCGCCTGGCCACATTCATTTTAATCCTTGTCCTTGGTCCCTGTTTTTCACATTTGCCAGAACACTCTCTGCTAGGAATGAAACCAGTCTCTTTCCTTCTTTAGCCCAACTGCTTGCCTGCTGGACCCTGCCATTGAAAACCACACAGCTGCTGCAGGGCCCTCTGCCTGCTGCTTTTATTTATCCTTGATTCACTCCTCCTCTACTTCCCAAAGTGGTCGTTCACAACTTTTAGCAGCTCCCTCAAGCCATGTATTCCACCAGGACCCCTCATTCTTAGCAAATTACTCTCCTCCCATCCACCCAGATATTACCTGGGTGTAGATGCAGGAAGAGAGGAGGCCATCCGAGAGACTGAACATTTGATGCAAGTGTTAGAAAGCCATCCAAGGGAACTATTTAGATGATTGGATTAGACTAAGTTTTAAACAGATTTTGACATTTACCTTTTTCCCCCTTGCTAACCAGCAGGTGAGGATTTAGAATGAAGGCTAAAGTAGTTACAAACAAAATAAAGAAATTATAGCGTGCATTACTACAATTCTACTACAAACACATTTATTTATTTATTTATTTATTTATTTATTTATTTATTTATATATTTTTGAGATGGAGTCTCACTCTGCCGCCCAGGCTGGAGTGCAACGGCACAATCTCAGCTCACTGCAACCTCTGCCTCCCGGGTTCAAGTGATTCTCCTGCCTTAGCCTCCCAAGTAGCTGGGATTACAGGCAGGGGGCTAATTTTTGTATTTTTAGTGGAGACGAGGTTTTACCATGTTGGCCAGGCTGGTCTCGAACTCCTGACCTCAGGTGATCCACCCGCCTTGGCCTCCCAAAGTGCTGGGATTATAGGCATGAGCCACTAAGCCCGACCCTAACACATTTATTAATCTATCTTTAAGAGAATAATTCTGTCTGATCTTGGACTCTTTCTTAGTTACCATGTTTACTCTCTCCTTCATGGAGAAGCACATGGAATATTAGCTTATGTGATACTGTTGCTGTTTCCTTGCCTCAAATTACTTCCTATTTTATTGTGATTTGGCTTCCAATCCCATCACTATACTTGGTCAGGGCCTAATTTCCCAGTTCAAGGGACCCTCTAGTCCTTTTCTCTATGTGGTTTTTGTTACTGGAGGCCATTTTCTCCTTGAAATTGACTTCTTTTTTTCCTATCTCAGATAAAATATCCTTCTTACAACTCTGACCAGTCATTCTCAGCATCTTTCTGGGGCCTCTTCGTTAACTTGTTCCCTAGACGACGTGCACAACCAGAAGTCCACAGCCACGCCAAGCCCACAGGTATGTTCTGCTGGACACTTGCAGTATTTTAAAAGAACTAGGCCAGGCGCAGTGGCTCATGCCTATAATCCCAGAACTTTGGGAGGCCAAGGCAGGTAGATCACGAGATCAGGAGTTTGAGACCAGCCTGGCCAATATGGTGAAACCCCGTCTCTACTAAAATTACAAAAATTAGCTGGGCATGGTGGCGCACGCCTGTAGTCCCAGCTACTCTGGAGGCTGAGGCAGGAGAATTGCTTGAACCCGGGAGATGGAGGTTGCAGTGAGCCAAGATCACACCACTGAATCCAGCCTGAGTGACAGAGCCAGACTGTCTAAAAAAAAAAAAAAGAAGTGAATTAGTTGTGGACATTCTCAAACTGGGAGATGTTACCAAAAAAGATTTTAGGCATCTGTAGATATGCAAAAAGATCTGACAACACGGAGTCCACATTTGTACATGGGAGGCACTTGAGCTAAGCAGTGGCTGCCTCCTGACGAGGGGCATGCACATGTGGTCAAGGGTTTGGCATGGATGACTGGGAGACAGAATGCCAATCACACAGATGGGAAATGCAGAAGTACAAATGAGCATGGTGAGATGGCAGAGATGCTAAGTGCAATTCAGGGCATGCTGAGTATGGGGGCATCCAAGTAGAAATGTACAGCAGGCAGTTGGGTATGAAGGCTTGGAGCTCAGGAGATCAGAACTAAGCACAAAATCTCAGGGTTATCATCCAGAACGTGGTAGTTGAAACCAGGGCAGTATTTAAGAAATTCTGAGGAAAGCAGAGAATAAGAAGCAAAACAGGCCCAGGATCTGTCCCTGAGGAACACATGCATTTAGCAGGGAGAAGAAGGGGCTTGAAGAACATAGAGAAGGGAAGCCAGAGGGCAGGAAGAGATCCCATACCAAGCTGCTGTTTTGCCCTTGTTGTCCCACCAGACTGGGAGCTCCTTAAGGGGCAGGGCTGTGCCTTCTTTATCTTTGTATTCCATTGCCTAATACATAGTAATGCTGAATTATCATCCTTTTTTTTTTTTTTTAACATTACCTTGAAAATAATATTTTAAGCACCAGATTAGATCAACTTCTCTGCATTGTGCTGTTGGATCTTGGCCAGTTCCCGAACCTTGGCTGTGACATTCATTTAATTTTAATCAACACTGGAGGTGACCTAACCTATGCTGAGAGACCTAATCAACCCTGCCCACATTTAGACAGCAGCACTCTTAGACCAGTGCGGAACTTCCATTGCATTTTTAAAGATCTCCTGAGGAAGAGGAGACTCCTTCAGTAAGCCATTCCAACAGTTAACTACTCTTATTTGCCTTATGTTTAGGCAGCTAAATGTTGAGAAGCAATTTCTCCACACATCCCCATAGAGTTGTACAGTTTCTGTTCACAGTGGGAGAAATATGCTTCGTATTACTCTTTCTCTGCCAAATTACAGTAGAGCCCCACTGGAATGACACAGCTTGCTATTATAGAGATCTGGAGATACCATACCCTGGGTAGCTGCATAGACTAGGCTGCCAGGCTGAGAAGCGAACCAATCAAAGGGATCTTGCTTCTGCCTCAGCTCCCCAAAACCTCAGATTGAATCACCTTAAGTGACCTCCCCTCCTCTGGTGGACTACCCGGTCCTGCAGTCATTTGTAGGTGGACACTGTTCCTATGACTTTAGGTCATATTTTTACTCCCACATAATCACTCCATAGAAGAGCTGCCCAAGAAAAAAGAGCCATCGGACAGACAGACATGGTGAGGATACACCCTCAAGGTTTACCTGTGGGCTTGAGTTTCAATTCTGTTAGTCCTGACTTCTTTTCTCCAAGCTTGTGCCAAGTGCCATTTGTAGACAGGAGCCATTCCTCCACAGCACAGTGATATTTGCCCTGATCGCTGTCTTCCACATTCAGAATGTGCAGCTGAAATAAATCTTGGGAAACCTTCTCAGTATGAAATTTTTGTTTTCTCCATGGGGTGTGAAACTCATCCCCAGTTTTTATAACATTGGTTTGGTCCACCTCCAGGATCTTTAGCCAGGAGGCATTAGTGGAAATAGGAGAAAAATACCAAATGATGGCTAACTGAAGGTTTCCACTGGACCGGGACAAGATGCTACATTCTATATCAGTGTTGGAGTTGATGGAGAGCTCTTGGATTTGACTCTTTGAATTCACTTTTAGCTTGCTCTCTAAATTTAAAAAATGGAAACAGTTACTTTGCTACAAAACAGAAAGTTAAGGTAGTAGAGACATTAGAGGTCAAGTATGACACTGCATCCTCCCGCCATCATATGGGTGAACTCCCTCTACCGTAGCCCCGCTCACTGCTCATCCAGCTTTTGAACAACATCACTAGCTGACAAGGCAGCCCATTTCATCTTTGGACAGCTCTGCCACTCCAGAATGCTTTCTGATATCAAGTTGAATTTTATCTCTTCATGACTAGTCCTAGTGCTACCTGTGCTTGGTAGGGGTGGTGTGGCAGAGGGAGTGTCACACAGACAAGCCCAGTATCTCTCTTCCACATGATACTGCTTCAGTATTTAAGCACAAGCATCTCTTCTGTCATATTTCATGTATCAGATTGGGAGAAAGTGGCCCTATTAATGCTGTGTTTGTGTGTTTAATATGCAGAGTACTTCTGGATTCACAATTTTCAAACTCTAGTTGTATCTGCCTTCAAACATGGGTAAACAAAAGGAAGTTGTACATGAGTGATTAAAACTGTGTGCATCTTTGCAGCCACTTAACTGTGGAAATATCGTATGGATGTGGAGTCAACTAATCTTTGACCCCAGCAGCTTTTCTGCTTTGTCAGAAAGATGAGTGACCATCCTTGTTCCCAAATCTTCTTCTCACGTCTTGCTCACATCACCCACTCTACTTTTGTAACTGCTTATTGGTGTTGCCAGTAGGTCTCTTTACTCTTCCTTCAGCAAACATTTATGAAGCACACACTATATTATGTGCCAGACAATTCCAGGCCCTGTGGATATCTTCCCTCAGTGGCTCACACTCTAGAGGGAGACAAGTACAGGGACAGAGGCTTAGAGATGGTGCCAAGTGCCATTTGTAGACAGACAGCCACTCTACCACAGCACAGTGATATTTGCCCTGATCGCTGTCTTCCGCATTTAGAATGTGGAGCTGAAATAAGTCTTGAGAAACCTTTCTCAAGTGTGAAATTTTTGGTTGTTTTGTGTGAGATGGAGTCTTGCTCTGTCACCCAGGCTGGAGTGCACTGTCATGATCTTGGCTCACTGCAACCTCCACTTCCTGTGCAGAGTGATTCTCGTGCCTCAGCCTCCTGAGTAGCTGGGACTACAGGTGCACACCACCACGCCTGGCTAATTTGTGCATTTTCAGTAGAGACGGGGTTTCACTATGTTGGCCGGACTGGTCTCAAACTCCTGACCTCAGGTGATCCGTCTGCCTTGGCCTCCCAAAGTGTGGGATTACAGGTGTGAGCCACCTCTGGCCTCAGTGTACAATTTTTGTTCCTCATGTCCCTCATGTTAAGACAGAGGTATGTAGAAGTGCCTATCTGAGCACACAGCAGGGTCTCCTAGCCCAAATACAGGAGTGAGGGGAGACTTCCTGGAGGGATAATTCTGAGCTGAGTCTTAAGGGTTTATAGGAATTATTCTGATAGAGAAGAGGTTAAGGATTTCTGCACAAAAGATGCAACTTGACCAAAGATTTTGAAAGTGAGAGGGAACATGGACTATTGAGGAGCTGCAAGTAATTCAGTGTGACTGAAGCTCAAATTCACGATGGAAAGTTGAAGGAGATGATGCTGGAAAGACACAAATGTACCAGATGATAAAGGGCCTTGCATGTCACACTATGGGAGTTTAGATACAAGGTGAACATAAGAGTTGTGATGACTCAGGTTTTCAACTTGGGTCACTGATGGGGAGTGGGGACATAAGGGGCAATGTAGAAGGAAGAGCTTTGGATGATAATGGGGGGTTTATGTTTTGACATAATGAGTGCAGACCTGTCTTGGAGACAGCTGGATATATGAGTCTGGAGATCAGAAGAGAAATTGGTCAAGATAATGAATTTGGGAGTTGTGAACATACAGGTTGTATCCATAGGTAGGGATGAGTCCACTGCAGGAAAGTGTATAGAATGAAAAGAGATCAAAGCTAAGAATAAAATCCAGAGAAACTATTTTCTTTGAAGAATAAATCAGTGGAGGAGAAAATCTTGTGTCATGGTGCCAAGGAAAAAGGAAGTTTCAAGAAGACAGATTGGGGCAGCAGTTGCAAATACCACAGAGAGGACAAATTAATTAAGCATGAATTCAAGAACAAGGGGATCATTACTATTACCAAAAATGTTGCACAGCGGCAGCGAGAATGACAGCGACCACGTTTGAGCATCATCTTGGTATGTCAGGTACTCGGCATGTTATATATGTCAACATATTTAAATTGCACATTAACAATTACAGATCAGGTAACTAAGGCTTGAGCAGATTAGGTGGCTCATCCAAAGCTGTTCTGCTATCCAGTGATTGTCAGATCTAAATAATTCAATGTCTCTCCATCACTCTGTCCTAAGAGAATGCAGACTATGAGACAAAAGATACATGACACAGCAGAACTTTGCCTAGGTGGTATCTCACTTTTATCTCCTGTGCTGTATTATCAGTTGATGAGATGGATTATATGTGATTGTAATAATAAATTTTCTGACTCTTATACATTAACACCTTACAAATAAGTAGGTGGATGTATTCCAGTGGAATTTACCTTATCCCTACCACCAGCAGAGACATTGCAAATGTTTACTAACTGGTAAGGCCTGGACCGTGACCAATCCAAAACGTATCTTCTCCCCCGGAGCCAGGTCCTAGAGGCCCCCTGCTGTGCCACGTGGTACCCTTTAGTTGCTGGATGGTGGGAACTTAGAGGAAAATGGGGAATGGATAGAGAGCAGCAATTAGCTGACATGGAAGGTATTTCAATGTTTTAACCACCAGTATGGCCAACCCGTGCATACTAACTCAATGTTGACCTGGGTATCATTCATGATGTGGTGCTTACTTAGATAGAACAAATATGGGAGAAAGTATTTTATGTTTTCTTGTTATAACTTACCCAGAATGGGAGGCTTGCTATTTATTTGTTTGTTTTTAAAGCAGGGATTAATTTCAAGTCACACTTACCTGGTAAAGTGACCGCTATTCTCAATGGGTGAGAGATGGCAGAAGCTCTCGGAGGGTGGTTGTTGTATAGGGAATTTCTGTCATAAATTTCTACTTTACACTGATACACTCCTGTCTCTTCCTCAGTGGCATCATGCACCAGGAGTTGTGAACGAAATAAAGACTGTGAAACCTTCGTCTTCTTATGGAACTGGGATAGGAAATTCCCCCATTCAATAGTGCCATTGTGGGTGATTCGAATAAGCTGGTGGAAGACGTGAGAGCTAGCTGGCCGGAACTGCCACGTCACAGTGAGTGGCACCTTGAGGTCAGAGTAACCAGTCCCCAAGACGCAGGACAGGTCAAAGGTGTTGGTTAACGTCACTTGTGGCTGACGGCTCATCAGACTAACTTGTAAACTTGACTCTAGACAGAAAAATGAAACATAATTTCTAATATATGTACCAGATTAAAATACAGCACTTTCAGGTTTTTCTAGTTGCCACCTCTTTGAGTAGGACCATGCATTTGTACATCTGGAGTTTTATATTTTATAGAGTAGAAGTTGATTCTCAGTACAGTCTGTCCTGAACTCTGACCTCAATTTTGCAAAGTTGATCCTCTTCTAAGACTGTTCCCAGCAGCCACAACAAATAGGCAGTGTTTCCCCAATCTGCTACTTAGACAGCTGCTGCTGAGTGGGTGGAGCACTCCCCACCCCAGATGTCTGGCCTCCTTCCCTTACCCCCATGCGTGGGTTCAGTATCGGAACCCTTTTTTTTGCACATGCTCCAATGGGCTCTGCAATCCCAGGGCTGCAGCTCTCAAAAGCCAGAAGATATGAGGCTCAGCTATACTCATCTATAAGCTGATTCATAGGGTTTTGTTTTTAACTTTGAACAACAATTTACAAGCTGCATCCTAAAGATGATCTTTACAAAGATGAAGAAACTTTAAAGATTGATTGACAGAGAGGGTAGCCAGAGACTATGCTCTGTGTCCTAGGGTACACATACCATCACTGGGGGATTCAGGATAACACGCAATCCAATTCCACTGCAGAATGAATTGAGTGATATACAGGTGCAGAAAAGGACTTCCTCTGACACTTACCCAGAGACTTTACAGTAACTGAAATCTTCTGAGTCCAGCTCAGATCTCTGGCCTGGTTCCGAGACTTCTCAGATACTCTGCACTCATATGTGCCACTGTCTGTGATGGCAGTGAAGGTGATCTCCAGCTGGAAGGTGGCCCAGTCCACTTTCTCCAACCTTGTGTTGCCATGGTAACCGGGTCCTCCATAGGAGGCACCCAGCTGCACAATGCCATCCTGCCCCATGCCAGCCACAAACTCGGGCTGTGTCTGATCCTGTGGGATGTGCCACCAGCTCACAGACAGGGGACTTTCAGCTCCACCAGCCTTACAGAGAAGGGCGAGGGTCTCTCCTTCCCACACAACTTGCTGCTTGTTCTTGATAGACACGACCACACTTCTTGCTGTTACAGATTATAGAAGAAAAAAACTGTTTTAGGTAAATAAGAAATTTTCTAAAATACAGTGAAATCTCATTAATTAGGACTTGACTAGTTTGTGACAAGTCAAATCGGGCTGTTTCCTCTTGCACCACCCTCTGGCAAAAGATTTGCCAAACACTTAAATAGTGGAAACAAGATAGCAGAAAGAATATCGGAGGATGTATTTACCCTTAAACAATTTATTTATTTCTAAAGACTGGGTCTTGCTCTGTTGTGCAGGCTGGAACACAGCACTGTGATCTTAACTCACTGCAACCTCAAACTCCTTGGCTCAAGCGATCCTCCTGCCTCGTGCCTCAGTAGCTGGGACTACAGGCACGTGCCACCACGCTGGCTAATTTTTAAATTTTTTGCAGAGATAGGGTCTCTCTTTGTTACCTAGGCTGGTGTTGAACTTCTGGCCTCAAGCAATCCTCCTGTCTCAGCCTCCTAAAGGGCTGGGATTACAGGCATGAGCCACTGTGCCCAGCTTACTTAAGCCATTTATCACTTGCACGTATTTTTTATTAGTTTGTTAAATCAACTCTTCCTTAAGGATATCTAGTTGGCCAAACATCTGGTAATGTTTTAGTATATTAATTAGGGTAGATATAAGAGCCTGAAAGTAATAAAGCTGTGTTTATTTAAATTTTTAGTTTTTTAGAATTCGGACCTTCAGAGTTCAAAAAGATCTTCCTCTTTCTTATCTTTCCCTAATCAAGCTAATTGGTTTAGTAAGTGTTTTGAATGAGGAAGAAACATTGTTAATTACATCTCTGTTCACAATATTACTATAAAAAACAATTACTTGGGGGGGAAAATACATGTATATATACATATACACGTTGTTGTAAACAGAGAGGCTTCTTATGTCTAAACTACAGTGTAAAACCATAAATGTAAATCTGACTCTCAGATGGGAAATTCAAGTCATCATTCAACAAACACATTCATTCAACAAACATGAATTCTGCAAGGTCTTGTCCTGGTTGCTTTGTGAGCAATGTAGAGATACAGCAGGAGATTGTACATTCTAGGCAGCCCAGCACTAATTTAAGGCCACGGCTCCTGGAGTCAGAATTGCCCTGGGCAACATATTTGACCTCTCTGAGCCTCAGTTTTCTTTTCTGTAAAAATGAAGATGATAATAGTGCTCACCTTGCTGCATTGTTGAGAAGACTGAACAAATGGCACATGCAAAGAGCTTAGCCTGGATGGCTAGGGAAAGTACTTAGTAAAGGTTAGCTGCTAGCATTAGTGTTTAATGATAGGCTCTGGCAAAAGCAGAGGTAATTCAAAGCAAAAGAGGAAAATAAAATAGAACTGGCATTAGAAATCTAAATAGGATCTAAATGAATTTGCAAATTGTTCTTCCCTGCGGAGGAAGGAGTTCAGTCTTTGACTGTTTTATGCATACATATACGTAAGTAACAAAGACAGAATGAAGGTTAATGTCCATAAATATGTTTTTTAAAAGAGCAAATCTGCTTTCAAATTTAATTTTTTTCAAGTTAAAAATAGACTCATAACTGAAGTTTAGAAATTGGAGGGGAAATTATTACTCATAATCTCACCACTTTAAGATAACCATGATGATTAGTTTAAACTAACATGATTTTTTTTTTTTTAAATGATGTTTCCTTAGTTCATTGTGGCCATTACTGCCTTTTGGTAAGAAGTAATAAACTTACGAAATGTATGTAAGTTACACATTCACAACGGTAATGGGTGATTAAAACATTCATAAATGATGAAATGTTGCTAATACTTCGAGTAACGTTTGACTTTCAAAACAGAATGCTAAATAAGATCCTTAATAAATTTGCTAATAACTTTTTCTGCGTCTACATAGTAAGCCCAGTGTAGACTCCAGCCTATACAAAGAACTATTTTTAGTTTTAGAAGATGACCCTATTGATAGGATTATCAGCTGTGTACCCTGAAGTTCCCCTTTGGGTGAAATTCCCACATACCAGGTTTACAAAAGCCTGCAGATATGTTCCAGAGAAGGCTGAGATGCATAAAGCAGAAACTTATCTCTGCATAAATATGTAAACCCTACCTATATTGTTTTTCCTTAATTCTAGAAAGTCAGACCAAATGTTTAGTGTGAAAGCGAACACAACACACCTCCTGGCCTGCCACTCAAGGCCAAATCAGTGCATCTTCATTCCTAGTAAATGGCGTATTGGAGAACATGAAAGGAAAATTTATCTATCTTTGGAGATGTCTCCAATAAGCCAGTGCAACAAGGACATCTTTATTTTCAGCTCAGTTTTTAAACATTTAAAACATTAAAAAAATTTTGGGGCAATTAATCTTTCTGGACTTTGAATTTAAACCCAGCCTAGTGAATCCTTATATTAGTTGTAGATTTGTCTGTTTTTCTCCACACAAAAGGCAATGATTATTCAAACATGTTTAAAGTCGCCCAGCCTTCATAAAGTAAAGGTAAACTGCGTGGTTTCCTCAGTTCTGTGCTTGCAGACACTCAGAACCATTTGGACCGGCGTCTCACCACATCACAGCAAAATGCAGAGGATGGAGTCTGCCCACTATCAATTACCTCTTCGTTTCTTACTGTGAGTCAGAATTATGACTAAGTACTATCTCCCACACCAGGTTGACATAGTAGGAGATTAACAGAAGGCAATTGAAAAATGCCAGCAGAGTCTCAAGGTAGGATAACATGGGTGTTCATTCCCCAGGAAGGAGGACAAAGTGTAGCTTTTTACTCTTAACCTATTCATATCACACACACACACACACACAAGGCAGAGGGCTTAGACTCTAAGCCAGCAAGAAGGAACTTAAAGACCATCTAGTTGTGTGCCATCATTTTACAGATGAGGGAGCTGAGACTTAGAGACGTAAAGTGGTGTGTTCATGGTCGCAGCCTAAGTAATGACTCAGGAATAGGACTCGGGTCTCCAGCTAGTTTGGGTGCCTTCCTTTACTCCACTCCACTCCACCTCCAATATGATCTGATTGAAACCTGCTCTTCATGAAGATCCCCATTGTATCCACAAAGGGGTCTTCTACTGACGAGGGGGCATCTGAAAGCAGCCCAGTGCATGCCGGGTCTTGACTTCACATACCTGCTGGCTTCCTCAGGTGCACGTGGCTGTCTGGTGACTGCTTTCTCTGAAGCACCTGCCAGGAACCTGTGCGTGTTCTCGTGACCTCTGCTACCACACATCTGTAGGTGCCTTCATCCTCTGGGCCCAGAGAGAAGATCTTGAGAGAGAAAGCCTTGGGGCCTAACTTTGAGACCTGGAGCTCTCCTTGACTTGCTCTCTCTTTGTAGTCATTCTTCAGGCCCAGGACTCCACCAGCATCAATGTGAGCAATTTCAGTCCCATTGAAGAACCAAATGCCTTGAAGCTGTGGGTCACGGCCACTGCCTACAACCAGGCAAACCAGTTCTAAGGATTTCCCTTCAGCAAACAAGCTGTCAGCTGTAATGTTGACTTGAAAATCTTTCACTGGGAAACAAAAGCAAGGCAGGTATTTAGAGAGCCCACAGCCCCTGTCCTTTCAGCACAAGAGAGAGATGACACCCTCTGTGAGGATGCCACAGGGATCACATTTTATGTGAGAGTTCAGCTCTATACTGGTAGGTAAACCAAAAAAAAAAAATCCTTAGAGTAAAAAACACTCATGACTCTTCCTTAAGTCACCTGGAAAGGGCAGTACACATGGTTTTCCGAATGCACTCTTAGTAAGCAAGATGAATGCACAAACGTATGATGCATATAGTAATGTATGCTTTTTAAATTAAAAATTAAAATATTGTATACTGAATTAAATAGATATATTAAATTAAATATTTTATACTGAATTGCTGTAAATTGTGATTTCTTAATGTCTTTTTTGGCTAAGAATCTCCAGCAGAATTTTCTGAAGTTAAAAAGCACATGTGATATTGCTCCATAGGACTCATGAGTGTAACTTGGATACTTGAGGCCAACAGGACAATTTTTAGTGGAACACAATAACACTCTTTTTAATAAAGAAAAAACTTTAATGATCCGCCATGGGATCATTGCTTTTAGCAATGGGTATACAGTATATGGCTTAGTAACCAATCCTGTTGGACAAAAGCCTATAGGGAGAGACCAAGAATCACAGACAAGGCCTTTATACTTGCTTTGACAAAAATGCCAAAAGATTATGAAAAGTGACAGCAGGCTGGGTGTGGTGGCTCATGCCTGAAATCCCAGCCCTTTGGGAGGCCGAGGCAGGAGGATTGCTTGAGCCCAGGAGTTCAAGGCCAGTCTGGGCAACATAGCAAGACCCTGTCCTTAAAAAAATTTTTTTAATTAAAAAAATAATAAAAAAGGAAAGTGACTGCATTCCAAGTTGGGAAAAGGGGCAGGTGGAAGGAAATCCTAGCACTGACGAAGATAAGGCTTCATGTTGGAAACTGGAGCTACTCGGAGGCCCAGCTGTCTGTGCTGAGTGGGCTTTGGAGAGAGACGGGCCTCCCTCTGAATACCAGCCCCACTCTCACCAGCTAGGTGGGCTTACGCAGCGCATCTAGCATGTCTGAGGTTCAGAGTCCTCATTTTTAAAATGGAGACTCAACTACTTGCCTCACAGGGTGGTTGTTACGACTAAATTAGATAATGTAGATAATGTGCGAACACAGAGACTGGCAAAAATGGTAACAAAACTACTTCCATGACTGGCTTGTGGAATCGATCTAACCATTGAGTAGACCTTATCCCACAAAGAATCTGGGCAGAGCCAAAACTGAATGTCCTCCCTCTTAGTTATGCTTCTCAGATGACAAAAATACAAAATCAAATCAAACTTTCTAGCCAATTTGTTTAGAGCCAACAAAGGATTAGAACGAAAATTAAAGCATACCTCATAAATACCCACTACCTAATACTAGTGTATTAATGAATTTCGTAGGAAGATAATTACCTGCTGGCTGGATCCTCAGAGTGGTTTGATCGGTCTGCTTTTTAGTGATGAACATCCAGGTTTCATCTGGATCCTGAATCCATTCCATTGCCTCACAGAACAGCTGACCCTGATCTGAGGATTGGAGCCTCTCTATGGACAGCCTGAACGTGGTGGCCCCCAGTTTGTTGAGCCGTATGTCACTGGCTGCAAACCGCTCTGTATACAAGGGCCCAGGGACCAATATAAAATCTTTGGAGAGAGAGAGAATCTCGGTGGCTTGGCTTCCTCCTCCATCCTGTGTTAGGTACCAGGTGACAGAGAGGTGTGTATGTTGGGCTGTGGCTTTTGATGCCTCACAGGTGAGGGCTAATGGCTCACCTTCCTCCTTACTGAGAGTCTGAGAACTCATGGTGGCAGAGAGGGTATCTGGAATAACTGGAAACAAAGGAGTGATAATAATGTGACTGGCCCAGTGCTTGTCCAGTGGGCCTCCTTAGGTGAAAATGGTGCCCCGAGCTACCATATGTAAAGCACACAGACTTCGAGTTGGTTTTCCACTTGCCATATGCCTTCCTATCCATATGCTTTCCCTATTGCTAATGGGAACACTGGCATCTATGTACAGTCTACGGAACTTGGCAAAGTAAATGTCTCACCAATGCGTTGACCCTCACTTTGCTTCATTAGCATAGGCTGTAACCAATTTAGCTACTCAGACACAAAGCATGTATTTAAAGGGAGAAAGCACTGGGACAGAGAAACCTTAGATTCTGGTCCTACATCCATCCCTATTACATGGACTTGGGCATGTCACTTCACCTCCCTGGGCCTTAACCTGCTCCTCTATAAGGCTCTGTAATAATGTAATAATGTCTGTTAAAATGTATCATTTAGAGCCCAAATGCATTCTTTACTAAAGTTTTGGTAACTGTCTTACTACCCTACCGTTCTTGTTTTCTTAAAATGAAATCACACAGCCTAAGCTTATATGAAAGCAACACTTAGATTTAATCAACCAATGTGACCAAGCATCTACTCAGTGCTAGCCACTGAGTTGCAGCTGAGGATGTGGTGGGAGAGAGGTATACAAACAGCCAGTTACCATATAACTGGATGCATGCTGATAGTAGTGGTATGAACAGACAATCTAAAAGAAACAAAAGTGGGAATTCTGCCCAAGCAGTCAAGATGAGTTCCACAGAAGAGGTAGTATCTAAACTGGGTCCTGAAGTATATGTAGGAGTTTGTTAAGCTGAAAAGGGGGTGATAGATATTCCAGGCAAAGGGACAAAGTGACAACTGCAAAGACTATGACCCTTTCCCAATATGTAAATATGCTAGAGAATGGTAGTTTGAGAATAATCATTTCTAAGTTAATGACTTATCACCTATGGTAGCAGCTCTCTTGTCAAATTACTCTTCTGCCTCCAAGCAGAGACAACACAGGGAGAACTCTCATAGCTTTGTTGAATGCTGTTGCTATTAGCAACCTATGGATAGCTGTGGACAAGGCCTTGGGAAAACCACACACCATCGAAATATGTCAAAGATAATTGAGAAAAGAAACATAATTTTAGAGAATAGGAGATACCCCCTTGTGACATATCTCCAAAATATCCACAAGGGTATATGGGCTCTTTTCCCAAAGAACATGGAACAATATAAAGCCAGGTCACATGGCAAGATATTGTGATGGTAGAGACTCTGGCTTCTCAGGGGCTGGCGAGCAGAAGCGGACAAGCAGCTTACCAATTAGATTAGTCTTTGCACTGTAGCTCCCATAGTATTTCTCATCAGTGTTCGGTGTGTGACACTCATACTCGCCAGCATCCTTCATCTGGAGCTTTGAGATGTGCAACAAGACTGAGTTGCCCCGGACCCTCTCCACGTAGATGTCTCTGCTTCGCACCCGCTGCGTATATACTGCGTAAGAGAAGGCAGCATCCTTGGTGCTAATGATCTGGACTTCCTGGGTCGGGTTTGTTGGCAGGTAAACAGACCACTGGAAATGCTGCTCAGAAGGTCCCTGGTGGCCAGTTACATTGCAGCCAATGCTGACTGGGTAACCTTCAGCTCTAAACAGTGGTCCTTTCTGAACTGTTACTTCTCTCTGGCCAATGCTGAGCTTAGCTTGCAAGTAGGAGAAAGAAAGGGGAATAAAAAGAGATTAGTGTTTCAGTTCCCAGTGTACCACATTATGTATTTCCTTGTATTACAATTCTGGTAAATGAGATCTCAGGTTGTTAGCTATAATCAACTCAAACGTTCAACATCTTCTTCAGGCTGAGCAGCAGTGGAATTGCTTGATGAGTTAATTATTCTTTTATAACTTTAACTTCTATAGTAATCTTCGGTCTCTTAAAAAAAGTTTAGCTTCATCAATGTAACATGACCACTTCTATAAAACATCTGCTTATCGAAGTGTACTTATTTTAAAGCAAATAAATGTATGATAATTTTACATTATTTTATGAAAAAATTTGGCATATACTTCCTCAAGCCTCAAATTCCAGGGTGCCTGCTGCCATTGTCGGGCAGTTTTCAGAGAAGTAGTTGCTGGAGACGCAAAGTCTAGGGCTCTGCCCTTGGTGCCATGATTTTTCTAGCTGGTTGGTTGAACTATTTGTAGCTCCTAGCCAGGTCCGTTGCAAGACTAGCCAAAATTAGCATCTGAAGAGGCAGCAGCACTTCCTTTCTATTCTGTGGAGGGTTTTTTGGTTTTGTTTTGTCATTTCTTAAAGAAACGCTTTTACTGAAAAGCCTCCTAATAGATGGCTGTAAAATCCAGCAGGTTCTGGGATTAGAATTTATTTTAGCTTTGTTCTTACCAAAAGTTTTCCGTTGGGACTACTAGGAAATGTTTTCTATTAGAACAAATCTCAAGTATTAGGTCTAAAGGAAAAGACATAATTAAATGGTAACATTTCATTTGACAAGTTTTTTAAATCAATCATTTTTTAGAAATCAAAAAGCGTATCTTTACTTACTATGATTGATATTAAAGGCTAGTTCATTTTGTGTTGCAGAAAGGACAAAGACATGCCACAAGGGTGGCCAGTTCTTTCACTAGGGGCCCAGGGTACAGTAAAAGGGAAGACGGATTGGAAGACATCGGAAGGGCCAGACAGGGAGAGATTGCTGGCTTTATGGAGTTAACTGAACAGAGTTCATAAGGAGACGAGGAAGAAGCAGAGCCTCTGCTGCATTTTGTGACTCTCCAGGGACAAAGAGTAAGGAGACTAGAGTGGAAAAAACAAGTGAGGGAAAGGAAAAAGGACATTACAGAGAACACAAAAAGACTGAGTATAGGAATCTGGGATGAAATGAAACTAGTTCTAAGGGATAGAAGGGAACTACAACAAAGGGCAAAAGGGAAGAAAAGGTAAGTGGTCACCTGAGGCAGTCAGGTGCATATATCTCATACATGTATGCTCAATCTAAAATTGGGAAACCAACCAACACTCAACCAACTAGTCAGCCAACCACACACATTTCTAGTAATAATATTTTTTTTTCTTTTTTTTTTTTCTGAGACAGTCTTGCTCTGTCACCCAGGCTAGAGTGTTGTGGTACAATCTTGGCTCACTGCAACCTCTATCTCCCAGGTTCAAGTGATTCTCCTGCCTCAGCCTCCTGAGTAGCTGGGATTACAGGCATGGACCACAATGACCGGATAAGTTTTGTATTTTTGTAGAGACAGGGTTTCACCATGTTGGCCAGGCTGGTCTCGAACTCCTGACCTCAAGTGATCTGCCTGCCTCAGCCTCCTAAAGTGCTGGGATTCCAGGTGTGAGCCACTGCACCCAGCCTCTATAATAATTTAGAATACACTAATTTATTCATAAGTTCAAATTAATGTGACATATTTATATCATGCTCTTTTTGTAATAAGAAGCCAGGAATAGAAGTTAGACCACCTTGGGAAAATGTAAATTATAACTTACCAACCAGTTATACTACAGTGGCAGTTTAAAACACTTTTCAGCAATGCCATCTTAGAGAAATGTGTGCACCAAGCTATGTGTGAAAGAATATGCACAGCTACACTGCTCATTAAAACCCCAAACAAGATACAACCCATATGTCCATCAACAGTACACTGGATAAACTGTGGTACAGTCATAAAGTGGAATGTTATAGAAATAAAAATCAACAATTACAACTATTTGCAATAACATGAGTGACTACGTTCAATGAAGGATACAAAAACACTTCTGAACCCTTGTGACTCTATACAGAATAATCTTACTGTTTATAAAGTTTAAAAACAGGTAAAACCACACTATAGTGATGCATACATAAGGGGTAAAATCATCAGCAAAAAACTAGGAAATGACCAGGCGAGGTGGTTTATGCCTGTAATCCCAGCACTTTGGGAGGCCAAGGTGGGCAGATCACTTGAGGCCAGGAGTTTAAGACTAGCCTGGCCAACATGGTGAAACCCTGTCTCTATTAAAAATACAATATTAGCCAGGCATGGTGGCAGGTGCCTGTAATTCCAGCTATTACAGAAGCTGAGGAAAGAGAATCACTTGAACCTGGGAGGCAGAGGTTGGAGTGAGCCAAGATTGCATCACTGCACTCCAGCCTGGGCAACTCCATCTCAAAAAAAAAAAAAAGCAAACTAGGAAGCGGTTATCATGAAAGTCAGGAAAGTGATTGTGTCGGGGGAGCGTCTGTGATTTGATGGGGCACACTGCGGGCTGGGTGGCTGCTTCTAGGTCTTGGTGATATTCTGTTTCTTGACCTGGGTAGATATTATATAGATTTTACTTTTTACTTATTTGTTAAACCGAAAATGTATGTTTTATTAATATTTTCTTATGTTGTATTTCACAATAAAAATATTTTTTAATGTGGCTTTTGAGGTACCATGAACCTACTTATATCAAGGCATGTTTCTACAAACGATGTTATTTTTGGTGGCTAGGCAACACTGCTCCAACATTTCCCATCACTTTTCAGCAAGATGGGTACCACATTTGAAAATTTTTATTGTGAAAACACATACTTCTTTTTCTGCTGCTTTATTTGCCAATTCAATAAATATTTATTCAACCACTTATAGTATTTCTCATGCTTGACGGACTAAGATATGAAGATGAATTTAGGCTAGATTCTGTTCTGGATTTTATAATCCAGTCAAGTGGACAGCAGTCATCTCTCTATGGAAAACATATAATAAAAGTGCTTCAAAAATTTTGAAGAAAGGAGGGACTACATTTTGAGGGGAGGGAAGCAGGTTTATGGAGATGGCATAAGAGATGGCATTAGAAATGGATTTTGGAGAATTGGGAAGATTATGACAAGGTAAATGGGGAGACAGGGCATTTTAGGTAAAAGAGATTTCATGGCAAGACTCTGTGAGTAGGAATGAAAAGACATATTCAAAAATAAGGAGTAATCAACTGGATGGTGGGGGCGCTGCATGAAGATTAATAGAGAGAGGTAAAACTGGAGAGCAATTTTGGGTCCAGAGCAGAAAAGACTTGACTATCACATTTAAAAGTCTGGACTTGATTCATTAGGCAATGGGGAATCCACTGAAAGTGTTTGAAAGGTCTTAGGAAAATGAACCTGACAGTTGGTGTGTAGGATGATGGAAGTTAGAAATAGGTATCAGGTAATTATAGGAGCTCAGGGCAGAGGTGACAAAAGCAATAGGGATAAAAATAAAGGTACTATAACCTAGCTACTGTGGAAACAAAATCTGTAGAGTTTTCAGTGTTTTGGATGCTTGGGAGTAGTAGGCGAGATGAGAGATAGGAAGAAATCAAAGATCATAAGTTTGATAAGGCTGACTGGGAGAATATTGATATTCTGAATAGAAATACAGATACCAGGCAGAGTTACTATTGTGTGTATAATGGTGAGTGAAAATATAATGCATTTAATTTTAGAAATACTAAATTTGAAGACCGTGGAATAGACAGGAAGGATATTCAGCAAACATTTTGAAATAATATTTAAATATATATTTATATTTACATATAAATTATAAATATTTTCAAAGGGTTAAAGTCTATTTAACCCTTTGAAAACATTTATAATAGAATCCTTTCAAAAACCATTTGACATTCCCATATTTAGTTGTGCAAAAACTCCTAGAATTTGAGCCAGACTTGAACATATTAATAGATCTGCAAATGCCAAATCCATGGCTGTCTCCATTGTTTCTTGTTGGCTCCTGTAAATGTCTGTTTGTAACTAGGGAGAGTTCTGAGCTGTTAGACGTCGATTAGGCCAGTTATATACAAGTGTTGGGAAGTGTTGGGGAACAGAAGGAAGAGGGCTAAGGAGAGATTACTACGGAATCTCTTTAGGGGATGGGATGAGGAACAATACCTACAGAGGGAAGAGTTAGATGGAAGGCAACTAGGACACAGCGGCTTGGAAACCAAGGGAAGAAGAACATTCTAAGAGGAAAGGGCTTGTCAGCACTGCCAAAGGCTGCCAAGAGGTTGGGGACTCTGAAGGCAGAGGACAGTCTTGTTAGCTCGATGAGGAGGATGTCCATGAAGATCTTTGTCAAAGGGATTTCAATAGAGTGGAAGCAGCAGTTTTCAGGGTAAGAAGTAACTGCAGAAAGTGTAACCTACCTCCAAGAGTTTCATGGAGAGGGAAAAATGAAGACCAGGATGGCAGCTAGAGAGAGTAGCTAGGTGAGGAGCGGTAGGAAGGGGTGGGATGGAGAATGGGTGAAGCCAGCAAGGCGGATGAATGAAGTAATGTCTTAGTAGAGGGATGACGGGGAGGGAGCTGTGTTATAGTATCAATGTCTGTGTCTTCCTAAAACTCATATGCAGAAACCAAATTCCCAAGGTGAAGGTATTACGAGGTGAGGCATTTAGGAAGCGGTTAGGTCATGAGGGCTCTGCTGTCATGAATGGGATTAGTGCCCTTATAAAAGAGTCCAGGAAGCTCGCTAGCCCCTTCTGCAACGTGAGGACACAGAAGGCGCTGTGAGGAACAGACCCTCACTGACACCAAACTGCCAGTGCCTTGATCTTAGACTTCCCAGCCTCCAGAACTAAATTTCTGTTGTTTATAAGCCTCCCAGTTTATGGTACTTTTGCTACAACACCCCAAACAGTCTAAGACATACTACTTTCTCAGAAAACTGAAAGAAATAGTGTGGAGACTTCAAAGGTATTTTTCAGGTGGAAGGCATGACTGGCAGAGATCAACTCAAATGGCTATGCACTGGGGCATAAGCTTAGGGATCTTATTATAAATATATTCTCTCTTGAGTTTTTTCAAGTACGTATCATCCACCCTCCGAAAAACACCTGTGAGGACTGCCCTCTTGCTTTCTCTTTCAATGGGCAGAGGGTTAGCCACTTTTGAATAACAGCTCATATTCTTGTAGACTGATGAGTACAAAGCTTGGCACTGACATACTGACATTGCAATCATGCTTTCAAAACACTAAAAATTCCTCGATGGTATTGACTTTCTTTAAAAATATCACTTGAATTGTCAAATTTACCATTGCAGTATTATTTGAATGAAAACAATTAGGTTGAACCTTATAAAACGGCCCATACTTGACCATTTTTGATACCAAAAAAAAAGAGCAGTTTCAAATAACGCTACCTTATACAAAACCTACCTCAGGAATAGCCAACATAACAAGCAGCTTCCTTCTCTTTACACATTCAAAAACCCTATATGCTTGGAGGCTGAGACAGCTTCCATCCATACTAAGTGGAATCTGTTTTATTTTTCATGAATACAATCTCAGTAAGACAGACAATAGCCCTTCCCCCAAACCCTGCCACGTTAATGGCCATTATTTGTAGGGCAGCTAGTTAGGGTGGGGGAAATAGACAGGCAGACAAAGCTAACTGCTAACTCCGAGAACTCATTTACCCATGACATTAATCTCATATGGCACCACTTTCTATCAGGATTGTTCAGTCCTTATATTTATTGAAAAAAAATTGGGACAAAGTATACATTTGCTAACCAATGTAATTGATCAATTGATCATTATTTAAATAATTTCTTTCATTTCCCCTCTATATTTGTAATGACAAACAGCAGACTTCCAAAGCTTTTTCAAGTAACTTCCTGATTTATGTATTCTTCACATAGAAACTGTGCTTCTACACAAAATTAGTGCTTGGGATGAGTCAGAATTTAGAAGAAGTAAATCTATAACCCAGTTTAGGTAATTGTTTAAATGGGTTAAGGAAAAGCTTCCAGCTTCCCCTTTTTGAGCCTTGATTACTACTTTCCTTCCCCCAGGCCTTCTAGCCTGCTTACCAAAAAAAGAGACAGAATTTGCAATTCTATGAATTATTGCACAATGTAAACCCAGTTTCCTCCTATATATGTAGCAAACATAAGAGTTCAAATACACAAAGCACATACACTTGAGAATCACACTCAGACAACTTAACCAAAAAACAGAAACACACCAGCCCCCAAAGGATCCCACCAGTGCACCTATCCATCAACACCCGCCAAGTCAGTCTGGCAGGCATCCATCACCCAGCAAGCGGTCCTGGCAACTTCTCCTGCAGGCCCTAGGACTGACTCTTAACCTCACACTATCATATGTACCTAGAGACAAGAGCACAATTAACTCAATCAATGTTTATGAAGCAACCTCTTTGTGCTGAATGCTGTATTCTTTTCTTTTAATTCTTCAACCATAGTCCTGGTCACACCAAATACAGCTTGGTTTACTTCCCCAATCATCCCAGCCATTCGGGTCCCTGCACTAGCTCCATCCAGTCTCTCGCTTAAGCAAGAAGTTTTTTTTGCTTTTGTTTTTGTTTTTTTAAGATGGAATCTCACTCTGTCACCCAGGCTGGAGTGCAGTGGCTCAGTCTCGGCTCACTGCAACCTCCACCTCCCAGGTTCAAGTGATTCTCCCACCTCAGCCTCCCAAGTAGCTAGGGCCACAGGTGTGCGCCACCATGCCCAGCTATAAAGCAAGAGTTCTTAACTGGGTCCACATGTAGGATTAAAGGGTCCATAAACCAGGCTGAAAAATAATCTTACACCTTTATTTTCATTTTTACCTCTAATGGAAATTTAGTATTTTCTTCAGTTACGAACGTAGACAACCACAGATATCTTCATATCACATTACAACTACTTAAGATATATTGAAATGTTATTTATACTCATCATTACTTTGAAGTTTGGTGGTTAACAGACCTACCTGTAGATCTTATTATGTAATCCATAAATAAGAAGCAAATAAATTATTGCATTACAACGTATTTAAAATATTTTGATACCTGTATTTCAATGTGATTGATTTCCTCTATAATTCTATGCACTTTATTTCATGCATTTTACACATTATTCTGAGATGGGGTCTATTCTCTTTACCAGATGTTAATGAAAACTGTAGCATGAAAAAGTACCTGCTATCTGGTTTGAAACTATTCCATTACCTGCTCAACTCATCTGATTCTCCCTTCTACCTTCAAATTTTCTCTTCTTCCATCCTATTCTAACACACATAAATGCCCCTAGATCAGGCAAGCCCCTCTGCATGGCCCTCAGCAGAGCCAAGTGAATCTTCCTGCCCATTTCTCAGTCTCTCAGTAGTCAATTTCCACTTCCACTCACAGATGAAATCTAGAACCTTCTTTTAGCATAGTCTAAAACTACTAAGTACTTTCATGACCTTTCTTTCCATCCAGTCATATCTGCAAGGCATATTTATTCCATCAAGCCTTAATATCAGACAAACCTTAAAGTCTCCTCTCAGTTTGAGACACAAAGCTTTTCTTTTTTTTTTTTTCTTTGAGACAGGGTCTCGCTCTTGCCCAGGCTGGAGTGCAGTGGCCTGATCTCAGCTCACTGCAACCTCCGCCCTCTGAGTTCAAGCGATTCTCTTGCCTCAGCCTCCTGAGTGGCTGGGATTACAGGCGCCTGCCACTGCGCCTGGCTAATTTTTGTGCTTTTAGTAGAGACGGGGTTTCATCATCTTGGCCAGGCTGGTCTTGGAACTCCTGACCTCGTGATCCACCCAAAGTGCTGGGATTACAGGCGTGAACCACTGCGCCCAGCCTGACACAAGGCTTTTTTATTGTCTCTTGGGATGATCAGCCCAGGAAGATGAGTAAAGACAGGGCCAAGCAAAACTGATAGATCTGGCAACACACACAAATGTACAAAACAATGGAATCACGTGCATGGGACTCAACCAAGCATTGCACCTCCCTGGAACTCAAGGATGTCTAGGTAAGCCAAGAACTGTCATCAATAAGTCAAAAATCATTGCTAACATCAGAAATATATGGCATAATTGTTCCTGCAGAGACCAAATTGTCCTGTTCCATCACCCAGCACCCTGAGTTGACTACCTCCTGTGACAAGAGAAACATAAAGGATTATGAAACTTACTCAGAAAGAGAAAGAAAGATGCCACATATGAGAAGCCTGCCATTGAGGCCAGCACAGTCCTTTCCCGTCCCAGCAGTGTCACTAACATTCAGAGGTTGAGTGACAAATGCTGTGCTCTCACTGCAAAGTAAAGAGGAAGCAATAGTGTGGTTTTCAGCCCACTGAGAAACAGAGATGGCTTGCGAAAAGCAAAACTGGTTACATTATACAGCTCTTTACTAATCACTCAAATTTGGGAGTAAAAAAGTTATCTTCGTGGTTAAGTAAACAGATACAGATAAAACTAAGAAAAGATAGGCCTCAACCTGGCTCAGTATGTGTCATTTAGTAATGATGAGAGAATTCAGGTAAACTGAATACATTAAAAAGCCATGAGAAATGTTGTCTTCTTGGCCTTTCCTTCTCCTCCGCTCTTGGGAGAGGAAACGACTGAGAAATGGGAGAGGGCCCCTGGAAAACATGAACGTGGGGCGACACGAGGTGGTGCTGAAGGTTACAGGCTCTAGAGTCAGGCTGCCTGGGTTTGCATGCAGATTCTAGTTTTAGTAGCTGTGTAATCTTAGAAAACTTAATTAACCTTTCCTAACCCTCATTGCTAAAATAGGATGTACCCCATAAGATTACTGTGAATGCCAAATGAGCTAATTTATTTAAAGCACTTAGAACAATATCTGGTACATAGTAAGTGCTCAATGAATATTAGCTACCATCATGAGACATTTAAGTTTATCTTCATCTGCCCTACGAAGCTGCCTTTGCAAAAATCATAACAGTGAGAAAGTTATGACAGTGAAAGGGATCCGACCTAACCAACTCCATCTTGCTTCTAACCTCCAAGCTGCCCTTGTTCATTCCTGGTTGTAGGCCGAACTAACTTTGGGAGGAATGTAGCTTACAGTTAAATCTTGAAACAAAGAAGGTAACAGCCCTTTCTGGAAACAAACCCCCTTCTTGCCTGGGGAGCAGACTTCCTTAGTAAGACTAACAAATTAGCCACAAGATTAGAAATTATGATTTAGGAGTCATGCAGCCAGAGGCCACGCAATTCCAACCTCCTCAGTTGTTCCTAAACATCACTATTGCAAAACCTAAATTGGTGCTCAAGGTATTTTTCAGACCCTGCATTCTGATGCACCAGCTGGCGCCATCCAGGTTGGTGATCTGGCTCCAACAGCTCTTTGATCCCACTCAGGGATGGAAGACTGCAAGAAGAACCCCCTTCGATCCCCTGTGATTTCCTCTCCTACCTGACCAATCAGCACTCCCCACTCCCTGGCCTGCCAAATTATCCTTAATAACTCCAGTCTCTGAATTTTCGGGGAGACTGATTTGAGTAATAAAACTCTGGTTTCCCATTTAGCTGGTTCTGTGTGAATTAAACTCTTTCTCTACTGCAATTCTCCTGTCTTGATAAATCTGTTCTATCTGGGCAGCAGGCAGGGAGAACCCATTGGGCAGTTACACTAATGGGCAGTTACTCAGATGTGAACCCAGGTACCAAGGATGGCAGAGGAGTGTCTAAATTCAACAGTTGGTCCTGAACCTAGGCTAATTTAATACTACACTAGTGCTAGAGTTCTCAGGAAGCTTCCACTTAAATCAGATAATCACAATGCAATGTGTCAACAATCAGTGGAACACTGATTGTTGCAGGGGGTGGGGAAAATTGGTGGGCAGGAGGGAAGGTCAGGAAGGATTGGGCTGGGCCAGGTGAGTCAGTGAGTTATCTAGAGAGGCAGGGGACAAGGTACAGTTGGGAAGTAACCGTGTAGTATGAATAGTACACACAGGCTGTATTATCCTATTGGAATAAAGTTTGAGGCTGTTGTGAAAGGATCTACACAGGTAGGATGGGCATATCTTAGTGGGCTTTGCGTGCCAAGCCTAAGAGCTTGGTTTTTATTAATACCTTGAAGAAGAGGGAAGCTATAAAGATTTTTAGTGGGAGTATAGCCTGGTTGGATTTTCCTTTTAAGTTGAATTCCGTATGTGTGCATTGCTAACAGGTTGAAAGGTGAAGAAGGGAGATGAGGCTAGAAGCAAGAAGGTCAGTTACAAGGTTTTTGTAGTTGTCTCTATGAGCAATAATAAGGGGCTGAAGTAGGGCATTTAAAAGAAAGACAGAGGCAGGATAGATAAAATAATCAAATAATTACTGAGTACTCCTTGTGCAGTAAGTACCCTACCATGTGCTGGACATCCATACATAATTAAGCTACAGCCTTTGATCTCCAGGAGCTGCTGCTTGTGCCATGTGGCATGGTGGAGGTGAGCAGGTAAGAACTTGACTGTCACATAGGGATATCAGGAAAGGAAAAGGGCATATCTAATCTGGAGAGAATGAATGGGGGGTCAGTAAAATCTTCAGGGGAAAGGTGGCATTTTAAAGTAAAATTTATTTTCCTAGTGAGAATTATAGAAGAACAGGGTACATTCTACAAATTCAGATCTGGAAGCATCTAACATTATCTATCTATCTATCTATCTTCTATCTATCTATCTATCTTCTATCTATCTATCCATCCATCCCTCCATTCACTCATCCATTCTTCTGGTTTTATTCATTAGCAATGATAAGTAACAATTAGCCCCCCAGTGATGGTCAACTTACAAATATTAAAGTCTTAAGTGAAAGGCCCTGTACTTCCCTTTTCAAGATACTATACAAGGCTTGGGAGATAAAAGAGATGTAAGAGGGCCCTGCCCTCCAGGAACTTGGGATCTAGTTTAATAAACAGCTGAGATTAAAACAAACAAACAAACAAACAAAAACAGCAGCCATATATGGCAAACATGGGTCTGGTATCCAATCTATGGCTCAGGCAAGAAATAACCTGAATTAATAGGCTGAAAAGGCAGGGAACAGTCGCAGGAAGTCAATCAGAAAAGGCTGGTTTTAAAGTCATGTCCTTGGAGATCTGGTATGATGCAAATAGGCAGGGAGGAGAAAGAAGGACATTTCAGTGCGGACAAATACAACGTACAGAGGCAGAAGCAGAGGCAGGGATGTGCAGGTTGTATTTAGGGAACAATAAAAGGGCAGTCTGCCTAGGATGGAGATTTCAAACAAACTCTCCAGGCTGCTAACTATAAAATCAGTGAGGTTCAAATTACAGGAATTTATTCACCATTTCAGTTGCAGAAGTTGGGGGTCACCCCCAGGCACCAACGCTTTCAGCAAATGTGTGTGAATGGAGTAGTTACTGCTGTGTAACAATCAGAAAACTCTGATGGCTTGCAACAGCAAACATTTATTTCTGTTAACAAGCCTATGGGTCAGCTGGGTGGCTCTGTCAATGGGGCTATGTCCCGCTGACAGGAGCTGGATGGTCTAGGATGGCCTTGGCTTGGATGACTCAGTTCTCTTCCACATGTCTCTCACACCTCTCTGGCAGGCTGGACTGGCACATTTTCATGGTAATGTCAGGGGTCCAAAAGAACTAGTGGAAATACAACAGCATTTTTTAAAGCTTCTATTTACATCGTGACCACTAACACCCCATGGGCCAAAGCAAGCCACATGACCGACTCCAAAGGCAAGAGATGGGTTAATATATACTCTGCCTCTTTATGGAGGGGAACTGCAAAGTGATAGAGCAAAGGGAGAGATTAACACAAACAAACTGAGGCCATCAGTGCAATCAATCCACCATGTGCACTGAAAAGAGAATTATTTCAGAAATAAGCATTGACCACAGAGACAATCATTGCCAATAATAGAGAGTATCCTGTATCCATAGAATATATATAACCCAGTAAATGCTATGCAATTTCTCATTCCTGGCTGTTGCCAAAATATTTTTTTCTCTTTCCATTTTAGTGGCTTCATTTCTGCCAGAATTTAACATTGACAGGGTGATGTTGCCTCTTTTCTGGGGGGAAAAAGAAGCTTTCTGTTGTCAAGAAAAAAAAAAAAAAGAAGAAGAAAAGGAAAAAATAGAGCCAGCAAGAGAGACAGTTATTCTTTTACCTGAGGAATTGTTGCATTGCAATTGTATCATTTGAAAGGAATGTAAAAATGAAGTTCCTGATTCAGATGGAGGGAGAGAGTGAGTACTAGACAGGCTCTGTGCAAGGCACATTACATATACAGTCTTATAGAATACCTCTTATCACTATGTGGTAGGTATTATTAATCCCATTTTACAAATGAGAAAACAGACTCAGAGTATATCAGTATCATGGCTAGAAAATGATGGGATTCTAAGGGTGCCTTTTCACTTTTGGTTCAGAGCTCTGTCTAACAAACCTTCTAGCTAGCTACTCATGATTTACAGGAGGCAGAGTGCACGATAGTGAATGGCTGGAGGAGGGGGAAAGAACCCTAAGGGGTCAGCAGGAGGCTGGTCATTATTTTACCCCTTTCCCCACTTGAGCTCTTTGAATTCAGGTCACATTGATTACTGTTCCACAGGGCCTGGACTTGCCCACGTGAGGGAGGCCCTGCAGTTGAGCCTCCCCTCTGCATGTGTATAACACCAAGCAGTCACACTACAAGAAGGGACCACAGTGATCTCAGTCAACTCCCTCATATAACAAAAGAAGAGACTGAGGCCTGGCATAGGCCCAGCTGTGACTTGGCCCCAGGGATGGAGGATGAAGCCCAGGTCCCAACTCCCCAGGCTTCTTGCTCTTCCTTCCCACTGGCCCGGCTTCACCAGGAGCTGATGAGTTAACCAGTGCTGAAGAGGTTTTCAAGGTGGGTGACGACTCTTCCTACCTGTGAGGAAAGCATGAACTAGGTTTCTATGGAGGAGGCAAAGAAGCATGGGGTGCAAAACAGGGCGAGTTTAGCTTCCTGGCAAAAGAGGAGAAACAGATGGGATCCTAGGCCATCTCCTGTTTTCTAAGTGAACACTTCTTTGGGAAGGGCTATTCCTTAAATTTCCTATGGTCAGTTGACAAAAAGCTATGATTAAAAAAAAGTTTAGGGGAGGGGATCAGAATAGGCCTTAGAGACAGGCAGAAAGGAGGAGAGGAGACAGGAAGTTCCCTTTACCCAGACCCCAGATCCCTCCTACCCCCTTGGGGTCAGACACCCATCCATTGCTTACTCAGCCCATAAAGAAGCTCAAGTGTCTCCTATTCTACTAAATAGTCAATTTTTACTCTAGTTCCAAATCACCTCCTTTTCCCTCCCCTCTTCAAACTTCTGATCAGGTTTCCTAATTCTGACCGCCACTTTAGCCCACTGAAATCTGGGCATGGATTCATACAGACTTCCTGGGTCACAACGGTGAACACTGCTCACTTGCCCTGGTCTTTCTGTGGCATCAGGTGTGGCTGGCCATTGGCAAACTTGCTTGCAATTCTTTCCTTCCTCCTCTGACACCACTCTCTCCAGGATTTTCCCTTACCCCTTTGGAAGCTCTTTCTCAGTCTGCTTCTCACTGGTTTCTCTTCTCCAGGCCACCTGACATTATAATCTTCTCCAAGGTTCTGTCTTCAGCCCTTCTTTCCTCACCCTGCTGCATCTCATTCCCCATCTCTATATTGACAATCTCAAATAGATCTCCAACCCCAAGTTCTCCCGTAAGCTCCAGACCATCTAGCTGGTGTTGAGTATCTCCACTTGAAGGTTACTCAGGAAACTCAAACTTGAGTCTAAAGCTGAAATCACTGTTTTCTCTGTCTTCACTGGTATTGTCCATCATGGTTGAATGCACCAGTATCGACCCAGACCCATGGCTGGCCTTCATGCATCACATTCAGTTAAGAAATCCTATCAGTTCTCCTTAAAATCTTTTATGAATTAATTCTACCACTTGCCATAACAATTGAGAGCCTTGAGCTTTCATCTGGACTAAGGCAGCACCTCTGGTCTTCCAGCTTTGTCTCTCACTGCTACTTTGCTGACAGAGTGATCTAAAATACAAACATAGCCATTCACTTTCCAAATTTTTCTTTCAGTGGCTCCAAAAGATCTCTAGAGGATCAGGTCCAAACTTCTTGACATGATCTCTGTGAGCTGAACCTGGGGAACACTCTCACCACCCTGTCCTTTAACTTTCAACCTTCAGGAATACAGAATCACTTATATTCTCCGAATGTACCTTACCGTTGTTTGTTTCTTTAACTTTGCAAATGCTATCCCCTTTGCTTAGCATCTTGTCCCATTCCTACCTGGTAAATGCCTATTCATTTAAAAATTTTAAAATTTGGGTTTGCATCTCCTAAGTGAAAACTTTCTTAACATTTTGGATAGAAATCCAAAGAAAGGTTTGTGCTATGTCAGTGAATTTCTGTAAGTTTACTTACTATATAGTAATAAAATGAATTATTTATACACCTCCCTATCTTTTAAGACCACGAATTTCATAAAGGAAGGGGCTAGTTCTTACTCATCTTTCTATCTGTGCAACAAATATTTAACAAATGCCTGGCATATTCAGGCAGTGAGGCTGGTGTAACGATTTAGCACAGGCATAGACTGTGGAGTCAGAAAGATTTGGGTTCAAATCTTGAGCAAATCACTTGACTTCTTTACGTCTCAGTTTCCTCATTTATAAAAATGGGAACAATCACAGTAGAAACTTTCTTATCTGACACAATTTGGGCTGTTAGTTGATCAATCAAGAGAACATGTCAGGTAAACATGGGAATCATAAAAAGGCTTCCATGGATGTTAGACATTTTATTTCCACCTCAACATATACATGCACATTCGTTCGCCAATCTTTTGACACAGGCCCAAGCCTTTCTGTTGAATATGGGTCTGCTGCCTGGAGTCTCTGGCCACTGTCTTGCAAAAACCAAACCTATAATGTCTTCTCTACAAATTTCAGGTTCGATTTCTTTCAAATGGAGTAAGAACTTCAGCATCTGTGAAGCCAGTGGAGTACAGAATCCTCCCATGTTTCTGTTATCCTCCCCACCCTGCTCAATCTTTTAGTTATTTTGCTCATACCAAAATTGATAGCATTTTTTTTAAAAAAAAGCAATTTGCTTTTATTGAGTTTTTTTTCAGAGAATTCATGTTTTTATTGATACTTCTTACTTTTTAAAATTGTGGTAAAAAGCATAACATTAAACTTACCATCTTAACCTTTTAAATGTACAGTTTAGTAAAGTATATTCACATTGTTGGGCAATAGATCTCCCTAACTTTTTCATCTTGCAACACTATACCCACTATACACTAATTTCCCTTCCCCCCAGCTCTTGGCAACCTTACCTTTCTATCTTCTGTGATACTTTATATGAGTGGAATCATACATATTTGTCCTTGTGACTGGTTTATTTCACTTATGTCCTCAAGGTTCATCCACGTTGTATGACAGAATTTCCTTGTTTAAGGCTGCATGATATTCCATTGTAAGTAAATACCACATTTTCTTTATTCATCTGTTGCCATCAACAAGAGGTTGGTTACCTCTACCTTTTGGCTACTGAGAATACTGTTGTGATGAATATGGGTTTGCAGATACCTCTTTGAGATACTGCTTTGAATTCTTTTGGA